AAATTATTCCAAGAAGAGGTCATACCATGTGCTACAGCTGTAGTGAGCCACAATACCGAGCGGCCTGTCTATGTGGTCCAAATACATTTGCGTTCTAAGCTTAGTCCAACCTCGCTTATCACTAAGATGGAACAAAGTCTCAAACGCAAGAATCTTGGAAAGAAGCTCAGACCAAAAAAAGTTGATATAAAAATAACTAACAATTCGGATAGCAATTCCAAAGAAAATATATAATAGTTTTATGGCGAATTCTGTCAAAAACCTGACATGAACGACATTGATTTGGAGGTTGCTAAGCAAGAATTTTTAGGGAAACAGAAAAGTGACGACGAGATTTTGCATATCGAACAAGTCACCAAATCACAGAACTGTGCTTTGTGGCGTCTTCATCGAAGGATAAACTTGACAGCGTCTCGATTTGGTGAAGTTTGTAGAAGAAGGCAGACAACAAGCTGTAAAGTTCTAGCAAACTCGATCATATACCCAACAGAGTTTTCTAGTAAGGCAATAAAAAAAGGCAATACAAACATCATTGGACACGGCAGTTCAATCTTGTGGTTTGTTTATTGATCGCACACATCGATTTCTGGCAGCATCACCTCCATCTACCTATTACAGTAGACAAGACATGTACTTAATCCAGGTATAACTACCTAACTGTTTCCTCTTATTTTGACGGCATAAGATATTTTTATGACCCTCGTTCAATTGTTACCATCTACCACACGACCCTTGTAAACATAATTGTGTCTATTGACATGAATAAACGAATTATTATTTCCAAATGAAACTCTTGCAGCGTGCTAAAAACAAAGTCCACAGGGTGCCAGCGATCCACTTTTTCGATTTTATCCACTAGGATCTTTTTAAAATATCAAGAAGTTGAGCACAAATAGTGAGCATTTCAACCCACCATAATTCTTGCGCAAAGACAAAATTTTGTAAAAAGCTCTGATAGCACCGTAGGCAATAATTATGGCCTGCTTATATCCAGAAGAACATCACAAACTGCAGAACACAAAAGGTAACGGCGAAATGGGTACATTTCACGGGTTATGAAATTCAAATGAAAATGCAGGTATAAAATCTACCAAACGATCGTTCTCAAAAACATATTTCCTTGACATATCGATAATTTTAAAGTTCAACGCTAAATTCCCCTATACTTGACTGGAGTGATATCCGAATGTATTCTTCCCTACTGTCGGTAGTTGCAGATCTGTTGGTGTCAAACCTATAGTGCAGGTACTGATTTTTTGAAATCGTGAGCACATTATTCGTCGGATTTTCGATACTTAAATTTCCTGTAATCACTGGGATCAGAAGCTACTTAGTAATAGAACGTGTTTCACTGATTTCAACCCGCCCTTTTTAATCAGTACAATTTTTTATGTCAATGATTAGGTACCCCTGAAACGTCAAAAACGGAGATTCAGCAATTGTTACTTTTTCTTTTTTGTCTATAGCACCTTTGCCACTGGACTAAAACTACAAAGCTTTGGCATACTAGTAACCGCGGGTGGAAATTTCATAAGAATCCGAGAGGTAATTTCCAAGTTGATGATGAGTGATACAGTTTTTCGTGATGTAGATGTCATATGATTTAAAAAACATAACATCTCATTTTAGAAATTTTTCGCGATTACAATACTAAAACGGCTTTAAAATCGAGGAGTATCAGCGCTCGCGATTATGAGTACCTATTTGCAGAACGACTTATCTACGCGATATTATATGAAATAGGGCCACCAAATTATTTGAATACGTCCTTTCTTAGTCCGTACATTGCGCCGCAACGCTTGGTTTGGCAGCACGAAACAGTAGACAAAATTCGTCCAAAATACGATTTGTACAGGTTTACGCGTTTCAAAATTGAAGCTTTATTTTTTGATATTTTTGGATGAAATTTTCACAGAGTACTGAAAACAAAACCCTACAGGGTGCTATAGAGCCACTTTTTCATTTTTTCACTAGATTCTTTTTAAAAAAAGTTGAACAGAAAAAGTGCGCACTTCAACCCATCATAAAACTTGTGCAAAAACAAAATATCAAAAAGTGCTATTACAACACCCTGGGCTATTATCTTCTCAACATACTCTATGAATTTCATTCAAAAATATTGAAAAATGGAGTGTCAGTTTTGAAGCAGCTGTATCCTCGTAAATGGCTTGAAAGTCACTGCGTCGGAGCCGCCTTAACAACTGTCGCGCAGCAATCACAGCTTTAAGCTGCGAAAGGAGGAGCCGTTTAGAACGACAGTCCGACGGTGGTTTCTCCCCAACGCATGGAACAGTTTAGCAGAAAGTGTGCTTAATGTTACGACAGTCAATAGCTTCAAAGTATATTACGATAGGTGGAATGGTGAACAAGCTTTATAGCTAGGAACTTTCTTGTTTTTATTTTATATATTTTAGGCTACGTTTTCCTCTTGCATATGAGCTTATAGTATTGTGCTCTGCTGATTTCTATTTTGCAATAATAATAATATACTAAGTGACATATAAATCCGAACACCCAGTTTAAATGGTTTTATTTTAATAAAATTTTGTATAAGTACTTAATGAAGCATAATAAGTAAATGATAAAAATTTCAAAATGATTGCACTGCTTTAAAGCCCTTTGACCTTTAATAATGTGTGGATGCACCCTGATGTGCTACGCATTCTCCAACGCGCCTAGGCATGCTTCTGATCAGGTGGTCAATGTCCTCCTGTGGTATCTCATTCCAGGCAACCACCAACTCCTCTCGAAGTGCTTCTAGAGTCTGAGGAGGACGTTGCAAATTGAGCAATCTCCTACCCATCATATCCCACACGTGCTCAATTGGGGATAAGTCGGGAGATCTTGGTGGCCATGGTAACAATGTGACATCATTATGTTGAAAGAAGTCTATTGTGACTCTTGCAACATGTGGTCGGGCATTATCTTGTTGGAAAGTTGGATCTGCCAGGGTGTCAAGATAGGGTAAAAGATGGGGTTCTAGAACTTCGTGGATATAACGCTGCGCGTTCATGTTACCTCTGATGAAGATTAAAGGTGACCTGGAACCATAAGCTATAGCACCCCAAACCATAACTCCAACAGTGTGATGAACATGTCTTTCAACAAAAAACTGTGGATTCCTCCTTTCACCACGTCGCCTTCTAACCCTGGCACGACCATCGTGCATGCCTAAACAAAATCGAGACTCGTAACTAAAGACAATACTGTTCCATTCCTGATCCCAGAGTGACCGTTGTCTGCACCACTCAAGGCGATTACGTCGGTGTTCTCGTCGGATTTACATGCCGTTGAGAAACTTGTAAAAATTCCATGGCTGACTGAGGTATCAGGGAAAGACTAAAACTTGGTTAAATCGTTTTTTTTTTACTTTATTTCACGAAATATCAAAATGATAGATGATGGTGTTTTTAAATTTTGTGCTCGAGGTTTCGTGTTTGAGGAACCATAATCAACTTTATTTTTTATATGGTCCGAAAAAAGTACACCCTGTATCTGATAGCATCTTTTTCTATAAATTCAACAATGTATAACATTTTACATTTGCTTTGTTCGTTATATACATTTTTTTATTTTATTTAAGTAGGCGTTGTAAACAAATGCTTGATGTAAGATTTTGCGATTACTGTTGCATATTTCATAGTTATATGATGGAGTAAAATTTCATAAAATTATGTTTAATCTAGTGATATTCAGAATAACGAATAAATTTCTAACACTTTTACTTTATTTACAATATGTGTTCAAATAGGTTGCTATTATTTTCTGATCATAAACATGATCTTCTAACGGTAGAATTTAAAACACCACGCAACATTCCTGGTGTAATCATACCAAGCGCTTCCATTACACATTCTCGTAACTGCTATTCAGTTTCAAAAGTATGCTGATAAACTCAGTTTTTAATAAAAGCACAAACAAAAAATTCCAGAGGAGTTAAGTCCAGGGAATGCTCTGGCCGGAACACGTTACTAGAGGTTCCAATTCACCCTCCGGGAAATTGCTGAGAAAGATACTCTCGAACTTGCCTGGTGTTGCGTGCAGTTGCAGTTGTTAAAACCCACAGCTATGAACCTGGGCCAAAGTTAAATTATCCAGGCAGTTGCAACAATTGAAGGTACCGTTCTGCAGGTAATGAGTTGTGGTAAATAAATAGACCTAGTATTTTGGTCTCTGGAATTCCACACCACATGTTAAACCCAAACCGTTCTTGATGTCTGTATACTTTTTCAGCCAGTAGTTTTTTTTTAGCCCAGCAATGAGTGTTGCGACGATTAGAGATACCATTATTAGTGACCATACTCCCGTCGGACCACATTCTTTTTGAAGTGAAATTAAAATCTTTTTGACACGTAATTGTGTACCACTCACAAACATGCTGGCGTCGTTTGCGATCCCCTGGTCTAAGTCCTTGGTAAATCCATCCTGAATGTATAGGGCTGATATCTATTTTTGCGCAAAATAAATTGGTCTGTGGATTTGGCTACTTCTACATTTTTTCAATTTGCCTAGTTGATATCTAGAGTGCTCAGCAACTGCATGTAAAACACTATTCTGAGTCTCCTCTAAAGATTTCTTTTATCGAGACATTCGTAACAGGCTTTTTGAATGAACCATATTCATTTAAATTTCGAGTCAACTTTAAGAAAACGAACTTACTTGGCCGCCTTCCTTCAGGAAATTTATCAAGATACATTTCTGCATTATTTTTAGTATTTATGCAGTACAAAATTTAGCACGCCAACATGTCGAATTTTCATTATTTTTTTGGTATGTCTTAAAATGAAGACGGAAAAAATAAAAATGATTTGGGCAAAATTTATTTTTTCCAAATATCTCGGTAAGCCATCAAGTTTCTCAGCGGCATGTAAATACGCCCCAAAGAACGCAACTTTTTCTAAATCAACCTAAGCTGTATCTCCCACAGGTATTGAGGTCCCCATGCATAGGATTCCTATCTTGGACACCCTGTAAATCTCATGTTTCACATTTTGTTTCAGACAGCCACCTAGTTCGTCGTGCTCCCGCAGCCTACTCCGATGGTGTCTACATGGTCGGAGGGCAAGGCCGGCCCAGTCCACGTCGTCTCAGCCGCCTTTTTATGGGCGGCACCGATGGCCTGCCCTCCACCAAAAATCGAACTGCCCTTTTGGCCTTCTTTGGTCAACTGGTCAGTGCTGAAGTGGCCATGGCCAGCGAGAGTGGCTGTCCGATAGAGATGCATCGAATAGATGTAGAACGGTGTGACGAGATGTATGATAAGGAGTGCCGAGGAGATAAGTTCATCCCGTTTCATAGGGCCGGATATGATAGGAAGACGGGGCAGAGCCCTAATTCGCCCAGGGAACAGGTAAATAAATTCTTGTATCTTGTTTTTTTAGGACTAGGAGTTGTGGCGGATGCGACAATGGCCCCAAAATTAAGGACGTTGAAGTGGCTGAAAGGAATAAATGGCGTCAAGTAGGTTGAATCTGGCCACTCTCACCTACGAACGTGTACAACAAAGAAATTAAACCGATCAAGCCAGTTTAACATGCCCATACAATTAATTCATAGAAATGTTTCACTGCTCTATCGACAGTGCCCAAGTTGCTATGACTCACCTTGCCATTCGACTCCGTTAGCCTGCCAGCCACGTCAGCGGCAGTAGAACAACAGACTGTGATCCTGTTTTGAGTACAAATGTAAATCTATGACGTGTGAAATAAGAGTAATGATAATAATAAATCATCTGTATTGATTTTCACAGGCAATGAGGTTACGTTATCAAAAATACTATACAATACAATTGGCGAAGTCTAGCGAATAGCTATTCTACTTAACTACTGGAGGGCAGCGCCCAAAACAGTATACAATTAAAACTAGAACTAAACCAAAGAATCGACGAAGTAGACAAAAAAACATCTGGCAAATGGAGTTTTTCAAACAGGATAGAGCAACGCATGAATTCCCAAAGAAACATACATGTAGCGATTATGCTTTTCTTTTTTTACTTCGATACAGAATGTAAAACGACAATAGTGAAGAACACGGATTCTAGCGAAGTAACTCGTCTGCATGCATACATGCACACATTCTGGCCCCGCCTTAGAGATCTGCCGCGTGGTACCTCCGTGTTCGAGAGCCAGAGACGGTCTATCACGTCTACCACAAACATATACACTGACCGTCTTACCACCTACGGATAATCACAATATCCATAGTCAAGAGGGTTCGAACTCGAACCCGCGCAGTGCACGGTGACTGATTAGAAGACCCATAACGTCTGCTGCTTTGAATTTTAAATTACATCATCTTTGTGTTGTTTATCAGAGCTAACCTGTATATGAAACAAAAGTCCTTATTGGAAGACGTTTCACATGATTTATTGACCACATGTAGATATTTATCCTTGGAATCAATGTTTCTGTCAATACAAATTTCCTCTCACATTTTTTAATTGATGAGAACTGAACATCATACTTGACATCTAATTATTCTAATGGAATACCAGGTGTAATATACAAGGATTACTAGAAGGGGTAATAAATATGAATTCTATTCTGTAACAAATATGTATAATGAGGTCATTTCTCACAGTAAACTCACACACATGGTAGCCAATTATCGGGTGATTAACGTCTTCTTTTTTTCTGTCGAGTAACGTGAATTATACCGCAGTACCTTTATCACGAATATGGAATATTTAACTGCCGCGAAATATTTCTGAAGTTTGTCATCTTCATCTCCAATAATGGCAAAGGTAAATGAGTAGTATACAGGATGTTAATAAAATATCTAGCCAAACTTCAATGGTCAATGGTCTGACTACAACAGTTTACATGAAGGTTGATGCAATGATGCTTAGTTTTCATGATACAAGCTGTCAAAGTTTTCATGAAACGCATATATTTCTTAAAAATCTCAATCGTTGTTGAGCTGGTTGTGTTGGAAGTTGTTGTATTTCCGCGTGCTAAGATGTAACGTTGGAAATGAAAATTGAATAAGAAATACGCGACAAACGAAAAAAGTAGCGGACTTAAATCCGGTGATCTGGATGGCCATGATGTGGTTTTAATAAAATAGTTTTCTTCTATCTGCTAATATTCAGCTCATTGCAACAAAACCGGATAAAGGAGCATTATGATTTCTACAAAACAATGTTAATAAAAGTTTTACACCGTTTATCTTGAAGAAGAAGCATTACTGAAACTAAGTCTTCTTTTAAATCACTCAAGGTTTCACATCTCGAAGATAGATCAAGTAGCTTATTAACATCTATACTATAGAAGGATCTCGCTTATTTCTGTTTGTTTAATTTACTATTGTGTAAGAAAGAGGCATTATCATTTTGTTGTTAATTAGCTATTGTTTTAGTTCTGTTCATTTATGTTATGGCCATGGTCTGTAGTATGTACCACACCATAATGTATAGAAAATTGCCATGGAAACATTTTTCTGTAGTAATCGCAAGATGGCGAGGTTTTTTCAAATATATGGCCTTTGAGCATGTCAAAATGTCTCCACAAAGGAAATCCAAGCAACAAACATATACATTGGTACAACATGGTGCATATGGTTGAGGGTTTTTAATCATTCATTGTCTCTCAGTTACTGAACCTTTATTACAAAGTATCTGAGTGTAGGGGTAGAATTTCCAATTTTCCACGCCACTGGTGTAGTTTGATTCATTTATAAAAATTTGGGGCGATCCTTATATCCATTCCAGGACCTATCTTTTTCTGGATTTTCAACTTATAAGTTTAACGCCCTGCATATCGGCAAGGGAGAATTTTAGGATTCATGTTTATGGGGACTCTCCATGTTTCTTTTGGATGTAGCTGTTATCAAAAAAATGGCGTCAAGTGGGTTGACTCTGCACTTCCCACGTAACTCTGTTATTAGTACAGCACAAACTAGACCCTCTGAGAAAAAAGTCAGTCAAACAGGTCCATAGACATTCTCTCCCTGGCCTACCGGCAGTGCATCTGGAAACGTCGCCACTCCCTGATCCCTAACTCGGACAGACGTGGCACCATGATAGCACATAGGAAACACTATGCTGTTGCGCGGCACAAATACGTGTGATTCCATAACAGAAAAGTCATCACGATCATCGCACGACGCCAGCAGTAGCCACAGCTGATAGGTACGCGATCATATATATATTTTTTTGTTTTCAAGGCTAATGTACTGAGAAATCTATGATGTATGAAATATGACTAATAGGTGCGTAGAATCACCAATGTTGGGAGCTTATAAATGTACCAGCTTCAAAAATTGAGATAAACCCTCCCTACTCACTAACAACCCTCACCCCCAAGTTTTTTACCTCAAAAAATGATTTTCAAAAACGACAACGCTTTTGAGTCCTTGGCATAGTAGTAACATTGTGTAAAAATTTCATCGAAATCGTCCTGTACTTCTCAAGTTATAGACGGTTATAAGATTAGCGGACAGACCAACAGACAGACCGACGGAAATAAGTGACATGGTTTTTCATGACGTACATGTCATATAACATCCAAAAACATATCTCATTTCCCGCCAGTAGGCAAGAGAATAATAATAATAATAATAATAATTGTCTTTAATGGATTAACCAAAAGGCGGAGTTCACATTGTGTGCTCGTCCACTCAACCTTACAAAAAAAATGTACAAATAAAATAATGAAAATAGAAGGTATGAGTTGAATGTTCATCCCAATCAATTAAAGAATGAAAATTGAATATATAGGGTGTTTCAGACCTATGGGATCAAACTTGTAGGGGTTATTCAGTGTAACAGTAGAAAAAAATTGAGTATAGGGACCCATATCCGGAAAAATGTCACTACGGCACTACGGCCCTAAGACGCGTTAAAATTTACAGTCGATGAATTGCCTAACTAGGATTCAATGCATTTAATTTTTGCCTTTTGTTCATGATATCATCAGAACAATGGTTCAAAATGTCTTCCTCCAACCTGAATACACCGTTCCTGTGAGAACATGTAAAGTCTTTGGCTTACGAAACTCCAAATCATTCAAAACGAGTATCAAATTTTTAGTCAAGTCCACCGAAATCATGTGCGACGTTTAAATCGGTGTATTCAGGTTGGAGGAAGACATTTTGAACAATTGTTGTGATAATATTATGTACAAAAGGCATAGATTAAATGCATTAAATCCTATTTAGGCAATTCATCGTCTTTCTAAATTTTAACGCGTCTTAGGGCCGTAGTGCCGTAGTGACACTTTTCCGGATATGGGTCCCTGTACTCAAATGTTTTCTACTGTTACACTGAATAACCCCTAGAAGTTTGATCCCTTAGTTCTGAAAAACCATGTATATAAGTGATGTCATTTCATTCTTGCTGCTTTTTTAAAATAAAAGATGTAGTTGCCTTCTTAAATGGTAGTTCCCTCAGCCCCAGAAACTCTTAAGGGATGCTTTTCCTTCGCAATTTGGTGGCTGAAACTCCTTTCATATATAGTGGTTTTTTGGACAGGCGAGTGGCGAAGACTTTGGATCCAATATTAATATTGTGAACTTCTGTTCGAAATTGAATTTTTTTGTAAAGCTAGGTAGGCCTCTTTTGTGTTATAATTTTATTATATACGTATATGGTAATCGCAGAAATTTTGAATCTGTTTCACATATTGATCCATTTATTTTCTAAAAATTTTTCCGAAATGTGGTCATATTTTCTTATACCACGAATAAACCTAACACAAGAATTTTGAACAATTTGAGTTTTTCTGCGACTTTCTACATATAAACTGCTATGATATATAGGGAAAGGTACGAGAACTGTGACAGTTAAGACTTTCACATAAAGTTTTTTAAGTGTCATAATTTAAATACTTGCGACAGGATCCTGAGTGAAGAATAGGCATTTTTTATACGTATATTTGTAAGCACCTGTTTTCGGAAACGCAATTAGGTTATTTCCTTCTTCTAATGGTTTAATTGGAATTTTGTCAATTGTGACACTGAAATTATTTATGATTGTCGAACTCGATTGGGATCAAATAAGAGAAGAGTTGACTTTTTTCGGATTTAATAAGAAAGAATGTTATTTGAATATACATATATGAAAGAATATACAAGTCATAAATATTGCTACTGTTTTTAGCTCACGCTGTACACCTCAATTTCAGATGAACCAAGTGTCGAGCTGGATAGACGGTAGCTTCATCTACAGTACCAGCGAACCATGGGTGAACACAATGAGGTCGTTCGAGAATGGTTCCTTGCTGACTGATAGTACGGGTACCATGCCAATACGTAATACCATGAGGGTACCATTATTCAATAACCCTGTGCCTCATATAATGAAGACCTTCAGCACCGAAAATCTATTTTGTAAGTTCAACATCATCAAATCAATTGTTGCAGCACAGCATAAATTAAATTTCAATATTTGAATAAGGAAGGTGCATTGATTTATCAGCAACAATCACGTCACTTTCATCTGTGACAAGATGATCGATTTATGATCGACTGTTATGGCAGCTGACAGCTGTGATAGATGCCAGGTGATTCAAATTCAAATGCTTTTCTGTTCCTGTAGATGTTAGAAAACATATGGGAATGGTCAATAAAAACTTAAAACTATGGGCAAAATAACAGGAGACCAAGACAGATGACAATAAAACAGATTTTCCACAATTGAAACATTAAAAATGCCGAAAGAGAAGTACTATTCAATAGTATAAAACCTCTGATGATTCAGAAATTTTCTGAAATTTTGTTTAAAGTGCTTCACGTTTGTCGTGTATGAACCCACCTTATCTGTAAGATTATTGAAAACTTCTATACCTAATCTGGTGAATTTGGCTGCATTTATAGTAACAAATAGATAAATGTAATTGACTTTTAATCCTGGAATTGTGCATCTGAATATCGCTGTTTACAAAAATAGTGTAGCTATTCGAAAATACATAAGTAGCTATTTCTAGTATACAGGGTGTAATTTAATTGATGGATAAAAATACAAGATATGTTTCCTTAGCTCATTTTAGGAAGAAAAGTTCATATTAACATATTTCCTAAAGCTCTTAGCTTTTGAGCTACAAGGTGTTCAAATTTGAAGAAAAAACTATTGTTCTTATCATAACTTTAATACTGTTCTAGATATTTTCAAGAAATTTGACATGCTACCCTACTAAGCACCAATAGGCATTTTTTGATGTAGAATATTTTTTAATATTTCTACCAGTGGCGTCCATACACGATGTATATTGGAGATTTTCAGCCATGAATTATATTACACCGTGTATACAAAGAAGTCAATGCCAGTAATCCAAAATTTTTAAATAGCTCTCTGCTCGAGTGGAGTTACATATATTTGATAAGCTTTTTACAATGTTTTTTGAGAGACAAGCACTTCATTTGCGTGGATTGAGCTACCCCACAAGCAAAGAAACGTCTAGACTCGATGAGCCCATAATACGAAATATTCAATAAATCAGGACAGCTTAAAACAATTCATAAATTCCTAAAAACTTATACATAGGAGGATAATAATGTACATAGTTGGTCACAGTGACTTGTCCAACTCAAACACTCGTCACTAAAGACTCTGAGGACTTTTGTATATTTTTGTCTCTCTAATACTGAACTATTTACATTTATATTAAATTGATCTAACTTGCGCTGGTAATCTCAGCATTTCTGTTTTCTCGGTGTTAAGAAAAAGGTCAAGTGTGTTCAAAAAGTTATTCAGTTTTGTCAAGGGCTCTATGCACTATTCTTGGAGGAAATGAGGAAAGGAGTGTCATACGCATAAGGTGTATATTTAATGGTGGGCAAAACATCTACGATCTGATTGACATAGGTATAAGAAGAACTAGCATGACTTAAGAGTTGATACGAGTATTAGAATAAATACCGCCGAATTCAAAATTGATACGTAGATATTGCATTCGATTCTCAAGCAAAGAGGCTGTCCATTTTTGAGCAACTCCTCTTATGCCCTAATATTCTAACGTACTCAGTAATATCTGGTGATTAGCGCAGTCGTTTGCTGATTGCTTTCCCTAACGCAATTGCAGTGCCGTGTTGTAACACTTTGGTAATTGACTATAGTTCGAAATCGATTTTTTGTAGTGCTGGGTGACCCAAGGACAAACCAAAATCCGGCGCTGTTGGCCCTCAGCATCCTATTCTATAGATGGCACAACACAGTGGCGTCCCGGATACAGACTCACAACCCTGACTGGAGCGACGAAGATGTTTTCCAGAAAGCCAGGAGGATTGTCATTGCTACGCTGCAAGTATATTCTCGAAATGCTAGTCATATGAAACAGTGTTGCCAGATCCATCAAATTTCAAGAACTTTTTTACAAGCATTATACAACTTTTAAAAATGGGAGGACTAGGAATAACCGCTAAATAAGTAGAGAAAGATGAATCTAGTAGATTGACTTACCACTTTTTGAATTTTATAATTTTTGGTTCAAGAAAATTCTAATCAAAAGTGAAATATGCGCAATGCCTGGTTTCAACATCGTTAAGCCCCGTATTTTTTCACTGCACCCAAAAAAATAACCAGAAGAAGTTGAAAATGCAGATTTGGATTTTTAAAAAAAAATAATCATTCAAAACAAAATTGTTTGACAGTGTTCAAAAATTATCAGACTCACCTAATTCTTTTGACTACGGCTTAAATTGACCACAAGGTTGAAGAATATAAAAAAACGAGGACTTGGAATATTGACCGCAACAAAATATTTTTTTCTAACATCAAAAAATCACCAGAAAAGGAAAACATTGAAGAACGAGGTTTGTGGACATTCCGAAAATTTCAGTTTTTCGCTCATAATTCCGCCCCCATTGAAAACAAAGTTATTTAGATTCTCAATCCATCCATTTTTGTTTTGCAAGCGAACGAAATTCTGTACCCTGGAGCAGGGACGGGTCTAGTAATATTTTGGAAGGAGTCCCTGCCGGTGGTCCCTGTATCTGGATAATTTGGAACAATTTCGAATATTACTTCTAACGAACTGTCTCGGGACCCTTTTGCACCGGCTGGCCGTCAGCGATCAAGCTCTCTTCTACCGCTACGTCAATGAGCTTTACTCCTCAGAGCCAACCACCATAATGCCTGCCAGTCAGACCCCCCTGACTTCGGTCTCCCTGAAACCATGTCGAACTTCGTACATCAAGATTTGGCCGATACGACCGCTCCTTTGTCCCTAGGCCGACTTCTACGAAAGGGCCATTCATTTCCAGATCAAGATCACCAATGAATTAACCTGGCACGAACACATCTGGTCAATAGCGGCAGCTGATGAGAAAAAGCTAGGCTATTTGTTTCTGGCTAAGAAGTACTTTTCTCCACATTTTCCACCCCACTTTGTACAAGTCCCAGATAAGACCTAGTCTCGAGTATTGCTCATATGTTTGGAGTGCTGCCGCACAGAGAATCGCTGTCCGACTGATCGATGACTCGTCTTCTCAGGAGCAATAGATAGCTAGGGGTGTCTAGCTTCTCGAGAGGTCGACAATTTTCTGCCATTGTGCCGTGCTAAAGACATTAGTAACATCATCAAAAGCAACCATAACGCAAAGTCTCTTACTACTATAGTCGCCGCTATCCGCTACTTTGCCGCTGTACTAAGTGCATCTATGGCAGACTCTGTTAAGCCATATTGCGAGGGAGACAGCCCGTTCTTTTCCTCGACGTATTTTCTTAGCATACCTTCTATCAGTCGTTGTAGAAGCTTTCCAGGTGAACTCAGCATACACAGAGGTCTATATTTGCCTTCCCTATGGGTGGGATAAGTACCAAGCCAGCCTCCTTCCATCTCTTCGAAAAGACTCCCGTTCTCAAGAATTCATTCATCACAGGCAGCACGATAAATCTCAATATGCTCGCATTATACCCCCTCCGAGGTATTCTGCATATCAACGCAACAGTTTAGAGTTTTTGAATCCCAGCGGGCCGATCAGGAGTTCATCTGAACTACTGTTAGAGCTTGCTCTATCATTTTATCAAGGAATCATAAGATTGCCATGTCACTGCCTTAGTCACCTGGAAGCATGGTTCCGACCATACTGCTTCCTTGTTCAACTCCATTAATTTTTCATGGCCTTTTGATGCGTCATCTACTACTGCATTTAACTCTTGCGTCAGCAGGGCATTGTCAATATCTTTGGAACTTGTTTGAGTTCTGGTCTTTTTGGTTTGTTTTAGTTGACCCTCTTGCTTGTGCATTTCAATCTGCATATTGGCGTCAAAAGTTGAGATTTCTAGTTTATCCCATTTTACGGTATGTAGCCAGCTCTTCAGCGATTCCTTATTTAAGGAAACGGCGAGATGCTGTAGATCTACGTTCCAATCCTTAATTTCTTTGCTGGTATTCTGGCTAGTGTTGACTATGCCATTCAACCGTGCCAACTTGTACCTAAGTGTTTGAAGATTATCTATAAGGTCGCATAAATTTTGTTTTTTCTTGAGTATAGCTTCCTCAATCTCTCCAGCAGTCAGCACTAGAGCTCTTCTTTTAACTCCGGTTTCTGAATTCCCGGACTACCAAAACCCGTTCTTCCGCAACCGCTAAATGAATTTGAGCGTTGTGCTCCAAAGAGGAACGAGATTCTCTCATTTTCTTCTCCCTTCTTTACCGCTTGTACGGTCGTAGTCGTCAGGCTGATCTTGATTTGTTTCTCCACATGACCTTCTCCAGATAAGACCTAGCCTCAAGTATTTCCCATATGTTTGGAGTGCAGCCGCCCCAACTACAATATCCATGCTCGATACTGTTCAGAGGAGGCCTGACCGACTAATCGATGACTCTTCTCTAACGGACAGTCTCGGGGCCCTGACTTCGGCTCCTTCGTCCCTAGGAAATCGAGATTGTGGAACAATCTACATGAGAAGGCTTTTCCCAGTACTACTAAACTTAGGCAGTTCAAAAATCGGATTAACAAAGTTTCTTTAAGCTCCTCATAGCAGTCGTGGTGCACTGGCATTTAAGCCTCTGTCTGCGCGACTGCTTTGGTGTGAAAAAAAATAAAAAAACCCTAATTCATGATCTTTGCATCAGACTTATTAAACAAGGATTTTGTTCGAAATTGCAGATACGTAAATACTTTTGGTAAAGTTCTTCAATAGTGTGTCTTTAAGCCTTAAAATTTTTGATGCAAAATTTCGATCTGCCGTTGTTGCAAATAGACTGACAGGAATGAGTAATAATAATTTCGATATTTTTTACCAGTTACAATACTTGTTCGATGATGGGCGTGGGGCGAAATTTTGTTTGGCAACATTTTAAAGGTAGTTTTCGCATATTGAAAAACATTAAATTTGAAATTATAAATAACTTTTATCTGGTAACGCTGCACCAAGTACCCCCAATAACCCCCATCTATCTCTATTTCAGAACATAATCATTTACGAGTATCTGCCAGCCTTCCTAGGGGAGCCCCTGCCCCCTTACGAGGGGTACAAGCCAGACGTTCATCCAGGAGTAACACATGTGTTTCAGAGTGCCGCCTTTAGGTTCGGACATTCTCTGATACCTCCGGGACTGTACAGGAGAGACGCCCAGTGCAACTTCAAGAAGACCGCTATGGGGCATATGGCTATCAGGTTGTGTTCAACGTGGTGGGACTCTAATGTAAGTAACTCCCAGAAGGCTAATTCAATTCAATTCTTTATTTGTGTCACGTACACCATCGTGTTCAGACAAGTCAAAAGAAATAAGATAGAGAAAATATATCGACTGATGAATGAAAATGCAGATATAACAAGTCGTACAAGTTGTAAAAAATCACTGACAGAGTACATCAACAAAGCTTCTGATCCGGACTTAATCCCTGTCGTGGTACGGAAGAGATGTGCAGCGGAGCTTGCTCCTACTCGCTTCTCTTGCTGAGAAACTAGAGATTTGCTAATGTTCAGATCATCACAAAAAAAGGATCTATGTCCGACCCGTACAACTACAGGTGTATAGCTATGCTCTCTGTTATAAATAAGGTGATGGAGAGGTGCATAAATCTGGAGCTCCTTGAGTACCTTGAACGTCACTGTTTGATTAGATAAAGGCAGTATGGTTTCCGGAACCAGCGATACACTAGTGATATCCTAGCTTACGTCACACAACTGTGGAGTAAGCTCATCCAATCTTATGGTGATGCTCATATCATTGCTCTTGATATGACGCAAGCGTTCGTTCAGCTGTGGCATGCAGTGCTCTTATGCAAACTTCCATCCTATGGCCTCCCAGAAAAGCTTTGCAGATGGGTGGCTGACTTCCTCTCCGGCGGCCAGATATCAGTAGTAATCGACAGGTTCTCCTCGTCATCCCACAATGTCAACGAGGGTGCTCCCCAGGTATCAGTCTTGGTGCCGACGTTGTTCCTCTTCCAACTTACATATCAATGACCTCCTTTCCTGTACGATCAATCTAATCCACAGTATTGTTGATGACAGCACTCTGTATGCAGGTATTCAGAGTGACTAGCCGATCTCTGCTGGTGAGCTGGAGAAATAAGAGAACTATCACGGACTTCCTCTCTGACGAGAGACCTGGAGGTCATCCCTGCTTGGGGTCGCAATAACTGATACAGTTTGATGCTTCCAAAACACAGTAATGAGCCTTGACTTACAAGAAGCATCGTAGGACCATTCATTTCGGCTGGTGGGAGTCTAGATCACCGAGGACTTGCCCTGGCACGAACACATCTCCTCAATAGCGGCAGCTGCTGGGAAAAAACTAGGCAACTTGTTTAGGGCAATGAAGTATTTTTCTCCACATAACCTCCTTATTCTGTACAAGGTCTAGATAAGACCTTGCTTTGAGTACTGCTCACATGCTCGGGGTGCTGCTGGCCCGACTACATTATCCATGCTCAATGCTGTTCATAGGACTGATCAATTACCGTTCTCCAGCGGGCAATTTGGAACCCGACGGGCCGTCGGCATTCTAGATGTCTTCTACCGCTATGTTAGTGGACTTTGCTCTTCAGAGATCTCTTCCGTGATACCGCTCCGCGATGGTCCTGCCAGACCTACACGCCTGACTCCAACCTCAGATCCTAACGGTGTCGAACTTCGTTCATCCAGAAGTGGCTATTGGCTCATTTGACCTTAGGGTATCGATATTACTATAAACATCCAGCTGAGGAGGGTTTTTCCAGTTTTACAAACCTTAGGCAGTTCAAAAATCGGATTATTATAGTTTCTTTAAGATCCTCGTCGCAGCCGCGGTGCCCTGGTATTAGGCGTCTGCCTACGCGGCAGCTTCAGTATAAAAAAGGTGCTCTCAACCGGACTCTTCCTCTAAAACGGACCTCTGGTCCAAGTGTAAATAGTAGCTTAGATATCTACGATCCTGTGGTGGAGCGCCCCGATAGCACGAAATATTCACTAAATATTTATTTAATATTTATTTTTTTCTTATACAAATATTTAATAAATATTTGTAATATAATATTTTTATTAAATATTTATTCAATCTTTTAAATATTTTAAATACAATATTTCTTTTATAATATTCATGAAATATTTACTTTTCAATCAATGGAAAATATCAAATCTCCAATATTTAGATAATATTCATTAAATATTTGACTTTCACTATGATAGCGTGCTTCCTGTGTACCTCCAAGTGGTTCATTATTTGAGCGTTTTTTGTGGAAAAGGGAAAATCGTAAGTTTTTCGATAATTAGATAGCTTAATTTATCTGACTAGTAAACATTATTGTGCCAGCTGAGTATAAAGGTATTCACAAGACCACAAATTACTAGCCTTGAAATGTAACAGTTATTTGGTATTGGTGGATTTATCTGAGAATGGATACGAACATTATGTTCATAAAATCCCAACGAAAAGACATATAATCGCAACTTGATCGAGATACATCAAAATTGTTTTTTTTTAATATCTCAATTATCATTATTATTTTTGTCGTAATACGTTAAAAAATATACTAATAATAACAGTAGAAAATACTATACTTTTGTCCCTGGAATTATAATATAAAATCACAAAATAGTTATGGCTAAGTTAGCTTCCTTACTAAAAAAGTCACATTTCAACAAGATCAATAAGTGGTCTATTTTCAAAAACCTTTTTTCTTTAAAAGTTAGTCAAACATCAAGTTGTGCCCATGAACATTTTTCATCAAGATATCTTAAATAACATACCAAATTTTCTCAAAAATTAACCAAATCTCGAACCATCATAGGCAGAAAATTTTAGGTGCATTATTGAGCTATTCGGAGTAACTCACCATGCTCAGCACCAATATTGTTCCACTGCGTTTTATATTCCCAGATATACACTGGAAAGCAGCTTATGTATTCAATAATATGGAATTGCAAGATGCAGAAGAGGCTTAGAATGTTTTTTTAATAATATTTTCTCTAGCAAATCAAACCATTATATCTAGAATGAATTTTCTTTATAAACCCAGTTTTATTTAAGCAATCCTACAGGTTTTGCTAAAATAACCGATGACGAATTTTCTATATACACTGAAAATATGTATCAAATTAATGCTTGAAAATCCATACATATTTACGAAAAATATTACATATTTCATCAAAATATAAAATTGATATTCAAAAATCTTTCCTCATATATTTTCTAAATATTTGGAAAAAATATCGCAAAAATATATTAATTATACGTATATATACTACAAATATCTATAATGACTATTTTATAAATATATAAGAAATATATTTATTACATATTAAAAAATCTGTCGCTACAATTATTTAACAAACATTTTCTTTAAATATTTAATAAATATTTAATGCTATCGGGGCGTGCGTTCAGCTTGCGTCAAATGGGCATTGTATAACAAGGTATAATGTAGATCGTATACAGCGTATCCCAAAAGTCTTCTCTTAGGTTTATTTTTCGCCCTATTTCTCATAACTTACCCGTAATAGGAAGCCAGGAAAAATATGCACTATGCAGTTTTGTTTCATAAAATTATTCTGTATAAAACTCCGCCTTCTTTATATAATAAGATTACATTTTGAAGTGATGTTCACAATATCAATGTTCGGTCCCGGAAGCGGATTTTCCACGTCATCCTGTATCTATGTTTAATAGATCTTTTTCTCATTTTATCTACCACTTGTACAATCACGTCCCCATAAACCTTAAGTCTATATCTGTGTCAGCTTTTAAAAGAAGTACAGAAAATTTCTATTAGGTAAATTGTAATGTTTACTTTATATTGTTCCCTTCCTTTCATATTTTATATGTTTTTTTTGTTAAATCTGCCTAAAATAATTTGACCGTTACCGTTAAATTATATTTTTTTATACAATTTCTTTATATACATATATTTTTTTGACGCTTCTAATTATTATTTTTAATATTAGCTTATATAATTTGGTTAAGAAGTAATCTGTTGTAATTTTGTTTGTTGGGCTAGTACTTTGATCAGCTTGTCTGTTTACTAGTCGATTTTGTAGGGAATTGCTGTTATTTCTTCATTTTTATTTTTTCTCTTTGTATTTTTTCGATCTGCAAATAAACGCTATTATTAAATGTAGGTTGATCAATCATAAATACGTGTCTAGATAGTGGAAACGGTTTTTTCAAAATGCTGCAATTTCCATTATTATAATTTCAGGGCATCCTGTCAAACAACTCAATTGAAGAGCTATTGATGGGCATGACATCACAGCTAGCAGAGCGAGAAGATTCAGTGCTTTGTTCTGATGTCAGAGATAAGCTTTTTGGGCCGATGGAATTTTCTAGAAGAGATTTAGGAGCACTCAATATCATGCGTGGAAGGGATAATGGTTTACCTGACTACAATACTGTCAGGTATTTTCAAAAAAAAATAATACATACAAAAGAAATAGCTCTAGAACCAAGAGTACATTTTCTATGAACTTAATTTGATATTACGGTTACTTGGAATAAAGTTATTTAATCACTAAAAAAATTGACTTCTTCTAACTAACAAATGGATTTCTCTGCAATACGTTCTGAAAAGCTACTTTATTTTAAGAAAACTTCTGTACTAGGCTTTTTGTATTCTTAGTATAATATGAAAAATGCAATGGACTATTTTCCAAAAAAAATATTTCGACGTAGTAATATATACAGGATGTTTTCTAACTACGGTACAAAGCTTAAAAGGGTGATTCGTCAGGTCGTTTTAGGAGAAAACGTTTCTATGGACGTAATTATTGACTCAACGTTATTTTTCTTTCTCGCGAAATCGAAGCTACTTATGAAGATAACATAAGTCATAAAAAAGTTGTACCTTCGCCATTGAACCTAATAATTTCAATCTAGTTAGAGATAAATAAGCGCGCCATTTCACTTATATATTGAAATAATTGCACCAAATTCCAGGCATATCGGTATGAAGATACTTATGGCATTTTATAAATATCGTTTTTTTATAATTTAACGTCCTATGTACCAGAAACGAAGCAACTCCGGATATACAAGGTGGCCGATATGTAATAGACTGGTTTGTGCCTTGAATATTTGTGAAATGAAATAAAATACGTTCATTTTTTTCATCCTAATATTTCATTGAAACTTAGAAATTAGAAAAAAATAATATCAGACAAATGTCCGCCTCATGAAGCCGCGCAAACCTGATTACATTTTCCATAACTTTTTGCTAAGTTTCGGGAGAAATATTTTCAATCGCTTCCGTAATCTTCTTCAGCTGCTCTACAGTATTTGGTTTGTTGGAATAAACCCTATTTTTCAAAAATCTCCATAAACAAAAGTCAAGAGCCGTTAGATCCAGTGACCTTATAGGCCAGTTGACATCGCCAAATCGAGAAATTGAACGTCTCGGAAATATTGTTCAAAAAGATTTGTTGTATCCCTAGCTCTGTGACATGTTGCTCCGTCCTGCTGGAACCACGTGTTTTGCAGCCTAAATTGTTGGATTTGGGGAACCAGAAAGTTTTGCACCATATCACGGTAGCGCTCACCAGTGACAGTAAGAGAATCACCTGCAGCGTCTTCAAAGAAGTAAGGGCAGAGCTAGATATACTGGCCCAAAGGATTTTCGTCCGATTACTGTTTCATCTTTTGTGCTTAAGACACTGGAAACGATAGTTGATAGATACTTAAGGGATGGCCCGCTGGAAAGGTGTGTCATTCATGCAAAGCAGTTTGCATACCAAGCTGGAAAATCGACTGATCTGGCCTTACACAATCTGGTAGGTAGGCTGGAGAAGACTCTATATCAGCGAGAAGTGGCACTCATGGCCTTTTGGACATTGAAGGTGCATTTAATTGCAACACAACCGACTCTATCAGACATGCCTTGGTTAGACACGGGGTTGGATCAATCCTAATAGATTGGGTCCTATCTACTCTGGAGAGTCGGGTAGCAACAGCTATGCTGAATGACGTAAGCTGCACCGTGAGCGTAGCTAGAGGCTGCCCTCAGGGCGGAGTTCTGTCACCCCTACTGTGGTGTATCGTGGTGAACGAACTCCTCCTGAGGCTCAGCAGTATGGGTGTCTACGTGCAAGCCTATGCTGATGACGTAAGCATAGTAGTTAGGGGGCGTTTTTGTAGAACAGTCTCGGAGATTATGCAGGGCGCTCTGCGCTCTGTGGAATCGTGGTGTAGGGAAATCGATCTTTCTGTTAATGCTAAAAAGACCGAGCTGATCCTATTCACTAGGAGAAGAAGGCTTGACGGGCTGGTCATGCCGACCTTGGGACTAGATTAATATTGTCCCAGTCAGTGAAATATCTGGAAATTATCCTGGATTGCAAACTGAACTGGAGAGAGCATGTTGAATACAAGGTTAACAAGGCTCGCAATTCGATGTGGGCCTGTAGACGTGTTGTCAGCGTAAGGTGGGGGTATACTGGCTCTACACGACGATAGTACGTCCATCTCTCTGGTACGGTTCCCTGGTCTGGTGGCCTTGCATTAGAACTGAGACAACTAAGGCCAAACACAATTCAGCGTTTGGCCTGTATTAGTATTACAAGCGCAGTGCGAACAACGCCATTGAGTGCAATGGAAGCTCTGTTGGATCTCCCACCGTTGGATCTGGTGATCCGCGAGGAAGCGAGAGTAGTCGCTCATCGATTGTGGAGTCAGGGCAGCTGGGCTTTCTTGAATCCTGTCAAGGGGCATACTGCCATCTTAGTCGAATCAGGTGCTGGGGTCTCTGGGCCTAGAACTAGGCTATCTCTGCCTCTCGGTGGATACACCACTATTTTCCAGGCGGAAATCTTTGCGATTCTGGCTTGTGCATCTCACATTCTGGAGGAGGGTGGGCCTAGGAGAAGAATAACAATCTTATCCGACAGCCAGGCTGCAATGAAAGCACTAAGTACCTGTAAGATTACTTCGAGTCTTGTATTGCAATGCATGGAGGCTCTGGATTGCTGCGCAGCGGGGCATCCGGTATCGTTAATATGGGTACTGGAGCACGCTGGCATAAGGGGCAATGAGACGGTGGACACTCTGGCGAAGACAGGATCAGCCAGCAATCTCGTTGGTCCTGAGCCAGCTCTAGAAGTGACCACGCATAAAGCTAGGAGAAAAATGGAGACGTGGGTTGCAAGACAACACTCTCAGAAATGGAGAAGTATCTCCAGACATCTCCGCCAGGCACGGGAACTCATTGAAGGGCCCAGTTCTAAGGATGGACGCTTCTGCCTATCTCTGGATAGAGTCAACCTAAGGGTGCTGGTGGGACTGTTGTCTGGCCATAACACGTTAAGGCGTCACCTGCACGTGATGGGGGTGCCTGAGGATCTCTTGTGTGAACGCTGTGGGGTAGAGGAAGAGACCTCGGTGCACGTTTTGTGTCGCTGTGAAGCTCTGAGCTACTATAGGCAGACTATACTGGGGTCCATTACTTTGGACCCTCAGGACGTCAAGGAGCTCGGACTCAAGGCGATTCTCAAGTTCGCTAAAAGGGCGAGGCTTGTGATCTAAGGATTGTAGAGGTGCATAAGGGCCCGCTTAAGTGGCTTATGCACTGGCTCCTTATGGTGGCCGGAATGCCTCTAATTTCAAGATTCATTCATTCATTCAAGGTCCAATGACACCTCGATACCAAACACCGCACCAAACTGTGACTCGACGAGGATGTTGTGGTCGCCGATGGATGACACGAGGGTTCTCTAAAGCCCAGATACGACAATTCTGCTTATTAACAAATCCGTTTATTTTGAAGTGAGCTTCATCGCTCATTGATCAGTTGTCGGTAAAAATCGTTATTTTGAGTATTAAGCTGCAATATTGCATGACTGCATTGTCGGCGACTTTCATGGTCACTAGGCTCTAGTATGTATGGCCGCAAATGCAAGTCTTTTTTCAAAATAGTAGTGCATAATGACGTGCGACGAATACCCAGTTCTTGAGAACGATGTCTGGTAGACGTCTCGGGGCGCTCCACTTCACTTTCACGAACTCTCTCGATATTTTCGGGAGTACGAACATTTCGAACACGGCCCGACCTTGGCAAGTCCTTGACTTCACCTGTTTGTTCAAATTTACGCACCAACTGACGAATGTTGTTGACACTGGGCACATTATTTTGACCGAAATCTTGTCGTAGCTTCCGAATCGTTGCAACAATCGACTCATTATTCAAGTAAAACCTTTTCACAATACGGACGCGTTGTGGGATCGAGTAGCGCTTCATGATTAATTAATTGGACACATGTGTTTTAGAACTAAAGCACCACCTACTGAAATGCGTATATTAAAAATGGCGCACAATTCAAATCAGTCAGTTTTATATTGGTCACTCTGTATGTTCATAGGGTATTTTATCTGAAAACGACCTAACACATCACCCTTTGAAGTTTCGTACCATAGTTAGAAAATACCTTACATTTTGCCACCACATTGTTAATTTTGAATGTATCAAATTTTTTCTTTGAACTAAAGGTGGCAAAGCTTGACTTCAACAATTTAAGCTTAAGATTACGCAGGCTGAATAGGATCTCTTTGCGTTCTGTCTTTGCGACCATAAGCAACCGTGTACAACGTTGTTTCATGCTTTTCGGTGATCATTTGTACGGTTTAGCTTAATTTAGTAAAATTACGCACAAAGTTGTGGAGTTATAAGTTCTAGCGAGATATAATCGGTTTCCCATGTCCTGTACTTTGTATGTGACGCTTTTTCTGTTATGGCGATTAGGCTATAATAAGCTTTGAATCGCAGCTACTGACAATTTGACATGACATTGTGGATCGTTTGCCTGACTCGTCTAGATACCAACTTAAATATTAGAATGGAAAAAAACGAGGATAATCTGCAAAATTCCTCAAAGATAAAAATAAACAAATTCCTTCAACTATGAAAAATGCAGTCTTATCCAGTAGTCTAATCATATTAAACGAAAATTCCCCTGGTTTGCGAAATAATAAGTCTGCTTTTATTAACGCAAGTTGTTTAAGGGGGTACTTAAAACATGGACGCATAAAATGGGTACACCAATTTTTGTGGAAAACTTTTTGTTCGACAACAAAGAATGAGAAAACCCGTTTTTTGGGATTCAATCGAAAGTTTTGACAGAAACAAAAAATCTCTTCAAAGTAAGATTTTTGGGTATTTATGAGACCTACGGAATGAGACCACACGTTAATAGATCCCAGTAATAGTAAAAGTTGTGGGCGAAAACCGACGCAAAATGTAGATTTTGGCACTTGTTGCTAATGCGTCGAAAATATCACGCAGCTACTTCGAATTCTTCAAATACCAAGGCTTCTTACCTCTAAATAACGACAACAAAATTGGAGTCGCTTGGTTAAGTAGTATTTGAGAATTTCTAATTGTTTATCCCAAAACACCTCTCTTCCGGTCATCACTACTACTTTATTGAGCCATATACAGGGTTTGTTCAAAGGGCATCAATAGCAAAATACACGAATTTACCTTGTCGACATGACTGACAAACCATTCCTGTCAACACTTTATTTCGGAGGAATTTGCTAAAATGATTAGACTATAGGCGAAAAATACCTCTGTATATTGTATTGTAGCAGTTGTTGCGTTTTAAATGTTCCAGGGCCCACTACAACCTGTCAAAAATCCGCAACTGGACAGACATCAACCCTCAACTGTTCAAAGAACGTCCCGAGCTGCTAAGACTGTTAGTGGCCGCGTACTCGAATAACATTGACAACGTTGACGTTTACGTGGGGGGCATGCTGGAGAGCTATGGTGAGCCTGGACAACTGTTCAGAGCTGTCATAAAAGAACAGTTCATCAGGATCAGAGCTGCGGATCGGTTCTGGTTCGAAAACGAAGCCGAAGGGTAAATGAAGTTCGTTTTTTGTTAGATAATATTGAAGAACAGTTTCTAAGCAGTTATAATAATGGAAATAATAAACAAAAAAATACAGTGGACGCAGAGTTGTGTGTGTCGGGTCTTCTGACTAATCGTTAAAGTCTCCCTTGAAAATTCGGTTAGAAGCATTCCTGAAGTGTTCCATCTGTATTTTTTCATTATAACAATAATTGTTAGATGCCTCTTAATATGAATTAAGAGTTGGCCGGAAGTTAACCCGCAGCAAATTTATTTAAACAATTTTCTAAAGCCAATTATAGTTTCTTTCGATCCGAACTTTTTTAGGGTTTTTTGGGTCATTGCAGACAAAAAACTACTTAGCATCCCGTCTCTAATGCTCAACATTTACATTTACGGTCTTAAGTCTGAAAAACGCCTAAATGGCAGTTTTTTAATGCTTAAAAACTCGATTGAAAATTACCTTTGAGGTTACCAAGTGTTTAAATTAAGCTTAGGGATTCGAACTGTATTTTGAGCTTAGCTTGCTTTAAAGCAGTATCATTTAATTGTTAATAAGACTTTATGGGCGACGAAAGTATGCTTAGAGGATGCATTTACACTTTAAGATAAACAGCGTAAAAAGTATCGCACTAGTAATTGTCAATAAAAAATAATGAAACAGCACTAATAAGAAAGCTATGGCAATAATAGAAAGATTATCTCACTATACCCCATTCGTAGTCCATTTACGCCCCGTCAAAACACAACATGCCCAAAAGCGATATTGTACAGGTCTGTATTTTCCTCAATGGTCTTGGAATATTTATAGAAAGAAATGCACATACTTTTTACAATTCTTTATTCGCTGGAAGTACTTGAATCATCGTCTGAATGGTTAATATTAATTATTACAGGTTTAATTTGAATATCGATCATCTTGTCCAGATCCCACATCTTTGTTTCGATTGCCTCGAACGAGACGGATGCAATCTTTCCAATGGTTTGCTGTCACGGTATTGACAGCTTCACAAAACAAATTTTTCGCGTCAGAAAATTTAAATGTTCTATTGTTGGAAGCCACATACTTTTTTATGTAGCCCTAAAATGGTCTTATTCTGGTCTTTAGCCATTTCGTCAATAACATTAAGATTATATTCATATTTGTGCTGCCTGACTAGATGGACTGCTTTGACCGTATTTTCATTGAAACTAATTAATGTCTTTTGATTGGAGCCATTGCTGAATTTCTGCCTTTCAGCATTATAAAGTACTCGTACAATGACGGCATTGTCGTCAAGCTTTATTAGCGTTTCTTCAAACCATCGTTCAAATGAACTCCCGTCCATTTCTTGATGATAGTCGGTCCTTTTTAATTGACTCAAATGCCCATAGGGCAGTGGGCACAAAGCCATATTCACTGCCAATGTGACAGATAAAAATCGTTTTCTTTTCCTGGAAATAACTATTCTACCAGATATAGCTCAGTTTAGTGTAGCTAAGTTTTCAGCATGGGCTCACAGATTCAGTGTACTGGACACCATTTTTAAAACACAAATGACGAATTGGTTAGATACACGTATCTGAGCGATTTTTTAAGCCAGTGGTTGGCCCATCTAAGAAGGATTGTCTGGCTGATTTAAATATAGAGTCAACCCATACTTTAGGTTTTGTATGTCCTACATTTATCCTGGTTTTATCCAAGTACCTAATAAATCTTCCTGCCCTGGTCGCGGTATTTCTTTATTGATCTTAAATCATTTCTTCTCCATAAAATAATCTGGCTGTCCATCAAAATACTATTTCTGTCCCGTTTTCTATACTCAAAATGAAGTTCTTTGAGTTAACTATAGAATGTAGTCCTTTTAAAAGTAGGTAAGTCTTCATCACTATTAACTTCCTGTAATACTTTGTCTATGGTTTAAAGAATGCATGTACTTTGCGTCTGATGGCATTCCGATCAAAGTTATCAACTGTATCCAAGAGCTTCGTGTAATGCACCCTCTTGTGTGGTGGAGACAATTTTTTGTTTTTTTTATATTCTTTAACAATGTTAAAAATTGTCTTAGGACATAGGCCTGTTTTGCTCGCCACACATTTTTCAATATCATGAATTTTCATTTTAGGATGTTTTAAAATTTCGCTTTTATAAACGTTTCTTTGCCTGAATATTCAAATCTTGTCACGTTTTCGGGGAGGAAACATCACTGAAGGGAAAGCATGTCTGAAGAAAGGGGGGAGGAATATTCTCAGTTTCATCTGCTGTATCCGTAGACGACATGCTAACGTATAAACACACGTTATGTATGCACTGAATATGAACAGCAACTGCCGGCGTCGGCGTGCCGGCGATACCCGTTCTATCCTGTCGAATCCTGCACTTGTTCGTATTATTATGGCGGAATGACCAATTGCTGTTGCAACGCTTAGGCGGCTGCCGCTTTGCCGTGCTGCATCTTTGCTGTGCCGGGGCGTAAATTGACTACGAATAGGGTATAGTAGCACCTTCTATATAAAGGGTGTCCCAAAATTAACGCAAGATTTGAATTAAATAGAAAATGCCATTTTTAGTCTTTTAATAGTTATATTTTTATTGACTCATAAAGTACATAGGATAGGGTTATGTATGGAATAACACATCGGACAAATGGCCTCCACGGCTTTGCATGCACATGCGCACTCTTTTGTCGAAATTGTCCATGACCCTTCTGCATAAATGTGGCTGAATTTCGTTGATGCAGCGTTGAATCTCCTCCTTTAATGCACGGGTGGTTGTGGGCTTGTTGACATAGACTTGTGATTTCAAATAACCCCATAAAAAGAAGTCTAATGGTGTTAAATCACACGATCTAGGAGGCCAATTTTGATCACCGAAACGAGAGAGTACACGACCGGGAAATGTCTCATGCAGTAATTGAATTGTTTCACGGGCTGTATGACATGTGGCACCGTCTTGTTGAAACCACATATTGGGTACATCAATATCATTCAATTTTGGCAGAAAGAACTGTGTAATCATGTCGCGATATCGAGCACCAGTAACAGTCACTGCTTGACCAGCATCATTTTCAAAAAAATATGGCCCAATTATGCCTCCAGCCCAAAATCCACACCAGACAGTCACGCGTTGTGGGTGCATTTCTTTTTCGACAATCACACGTGGGTTCTCCGAACCCCAAATGCGGCAATTTTGGCGATTGACAAAGCCATCAAGATGAAAATGTGCTTCATCGCTTAGGATGATTTTGCTTGAAAAATCAGGGTCCATTTGTTGATGTTCAATAATCCATTCAACAAACTCTCTTCTCTCTGCATGGTCATTAAGCTTCAATTGTTGTGTTAATTGAAGTTTGTAAGCATGAAGACACAGATCTTTGGTGAGTATACGCTGTAGAGAGGTTCTTGACATTTGCAATTCTTGTCCACGACGTCGAATTGAGGTTCCTGGATTGTCCGCAACACTCTCACGCACTGCTTCGATATTCACATTTGAACGGCTTGTTTTTGGACGACCAGTGTGTTTGGCGTCTCCAACGGATCCAGTCTCCATGAATTTTTCAATTAATCTCTTCACAGTTGACGAAGTTAAAACACTATTCCGGCCATATTTTGTATGAAATTTTCGAACTGCAGCCGCCAAGCTTTCACTATTTTTGAAATATTCTTTAATAATGAAGACACGTTGTTCTATCGTGTAACGCTCCATTTTTCGTAACCCTATACTGTTAGCTGTCAAATTGCTTTTTTTCAGGGTTGCCAACACTTCACTGCACAAATGGCGGCAAATTCAAATCTTGCGTTAATTTTGGGACACCCTTTACTATGTTGAAAAACAAAATCACTGACTCAGAGTCGTGAGTCCAATTTGACCTATTTTTGTGTTATTCCTATCAGATTACACTGCTTCGACTTTATTTTGTAGTAAAAAATCATACGTAACAGAGTATGACTGTTCATCCCAAAAAATATCGTATTACTCATCCTCCAAAGCCTATTTCCGATTTTCTTTTCGCTCCAGCTATAGAGAAATAAGGATTTCTAGAATTAAACTTTGCCATACTGTATCTCATTACCGAGTGACATTTTTACATAGACAGATTTGGTTCAATACGATTATTTCCAGTTCAACTTCAATTTAATCTAGGATTGCTTTTGCATTCATTACGGATCGCCCTGTATACTTATGACCGAATTTTTAAAGGAGACTTCAATAGTGCGTCACAAAAGAAACCCGGAACCACTCTTTCCAACTACTGGACTTATTTTGTTGTTTTTTTCAATATTTTCAAAGGACCCCGCACAAAACATACGGAAAATGGGTCCCAGTCGATTTGTCTAAAAATTTAGTATGATATATTTCTCACTATCCTGAACAAAAGATCTCATAGGACCAAATAGTAGGGAACCTAATAGGGGAGTTTGGGATTTACTCAAGCGCGACAGATTAAGAAAAGGAGAGATTTTGTTAGGTATCTCCACCATATATACGCCCTTTATACAGTGGGATATGTCTAGTGCAGCTGATCAGAATAGTAAAATAAATCGATGGTTATAAATCATCATGTGTGTCTGTCTATAAATTACATGCTGAAAAGTGTGTATTTCAATAATCTGACATTTGAGTTGGACGTGACGGAGTGAGAGGATCACAAACTTTATGATGAATAAAGATAACACATGCGGTTTTCACTAATTTATAGGTTTTCATGAACTTTCTTGCATAATGAAAAATAATAACACCGCTGCATTCGAAGTTTCCAACATCATTTCTAATTTTTAGGTTAGAGCTACCCCTCCTAGTGGGCACTTTAGGAAGCTAAAAATAATTACTAGCAATTTCTCTTGGTCACTTTTGTTATACACTTGTTTAACCGATAGCTCTAGGATGACTGGTTGCCGAGATACAGCCGGTGTCCTTTATTGATGGCACAACCAGTATACGTCGACAGATTATTATCATACCTAATGGGTATATTGAAAAAAAAATCATCTTAGAAGTAAAATCTTATAAGGATAACTTGATACTTATAAGCACAAGCTACTTCGCATTTTAATAAAAATAAGTTTATTCTTAGAAGTTAATACTGGAAAAATCTCCTACATTTAAGTTTTTTCTTATAAGTCCTTACTTATTCCTTATCATAATTGTAAGTGTTTACTTGGATATCGGTTTTAACGGTTGCGCTTGCAAGATAAGTGACGACAAGTCTGTATCTTTTTGATACAATGCTAGTTGTCGATCAAGATTTATCTAATCATATTAGACGAAAATACCTGGTTTGCAAAATAATTGTACAGTCTGGTTTTATTGATGCAGGTTGTTCAAGGGGGTATTTAAAACATGGACTCATAAAATGGGTACACCAATTATTGTGGGAAAACTTTTTATTCGATAACAAAGAATGAGAAAACGTATTTTTTGGGATTCAACCAACAGTGTTGGCAGGAAAGAAAAAACTCTCCATATAAAATTTGTAGGTATTTATGATACCTACAAAATGAAAAAATATCCGACTAATATATAATAATCTTTTTACGTGTGGTCTCATTTTGTGGGGTTCATAAATACCTAAAAATCTAATATGAAAAGTTTTTTGTTTCTGTCAACTTTTTCGATTGAATCCCAAAAATACGTTTTATCATTCTTTGTTGTCGAATAAAAGTTTTCCCACACAAATTGGTGTACCCATCTTATGCGTCCTTGTTTTAAATATCCCCATAAATAGCTTGAATCAATAAAACCAGACTTTACAATTATTTCGGTGAAATATAAAAATACGATTAGAGTATTAGAGGTATTGCTATAATCATGTCATCGAGTGAGGAATAATTAACTGTCCAGATTGGCTGTCAGAGACTTATTTTCGCCAGGTCATTAAAAAATCATAGAGTTCTTTTGAATAAATAATCAATGATTCGTTGGTTGTTCAAGCTAAAGAAACGGCATGGACGAATATCAAAGACGAATTTGTCAGTACAAGTATTACCATTGAGAAATTGAAAAAAATCCTCAATAACATGAAAACAGATGTAAAGAAAAAAACTGATAAAAACACCACTGGTAACAAAAAAATTAAACTACGTGAGTGGGAAACTGAATTCTTGGAAATACTGAATTATGAAAAAAATCCAGTGTTCGTAAAAGTTCCTGGGGGTTGTTCGGTTGGAAGTCCCTAGCAACGGAAAAACAGATACTCTCGAAAATAATACATCATACTAGTATAAGTATGAGATGCTTCTCTGATAAAAGTATGCGTTGGAGATACCTTAACAGACATTAAGTTAATTCTTACTAATTGTGAGGTATTCTTCTTTTTATTCATTTAAAAAGGACAAAGTACTGGAAAAACCTAAGTGACGTCTTATGTTTCAAGTAATTACGTGAAACTGAATGAGTTTACTTAATACTATGAGTAAACTCTTTTTAATGCAGGAGTTACTGACTGCGTATTGAATGCTTATCAAGTAAGTACTCAAATAACAGGAAATAAGCAAATACTTTTTTTATTCAATAGACCTAATATCAGAGACACGTGGGGCCATATACGATATCAATATCTGACGCGCTCAAATATTTGTATATAATAATAAAAACTCAAACGAAGCCCCATTCATGTATTCAGAAATACTGTATGGGTCCAGCTGAGGTTTTTTTAAGTTTCTGTACGTTTCATCTCTTTTAAATGATTAGGTAGTTTATTATACGGTGTACATATAAAAAGAGTTTCTTTTAGTTACTGTCAGCCTAGGCTGAGGTAGCAAAGCATTCAGAGCTTATGTACCGTGTGTGTGACCATTCTGCTTGAGGAAATTGATTGTATTTTTCACTGTGAACATAACATCTTCAAATATTTAAAGTGCATATACTGTCATCAAACCCACAGGCTTAAATAGGTTTCAACATGTTTCATTAAATCTTATATGTGCTATTGCTATTATGGTCTTGTTCTAAATAACATATATTTTTTTCAGTTCTGAAATGCCTCGAAACAGTTTTATTCCATAACGTTAAATCGATTTAAAATTTGCATATTATACAATTTTTAAACATTCCGAATTTTCGTACCTAGATAACACTCCATAGATGATGCTAATCAGTTTCAATGCAGTTTTATTTATGTTTGGAGTCCAAGAGATAAACTCATCTAAATGTATGTCTAACACTTTAGTTTGCTGACTTTCTTGGATGCTACTACCAAAGTGTGATATTTTGTGATATGTTAATCTGTGATTGCTTTGTTCTAATTATTATTAAATCAGTCTTGTACTTGCTCAGTAGAAGGTTATTCATTGCAAACCACTTTTCGCTGATTCACCTACTGATCATTATGAAACTAGTTTTTTTCTATTTTTGACAACCTGTATACGCTCCCCTCAACCACTGAAAGGGTTTACATCACTTAACATGTTTTCCCTTCAGATATCTAACCTTCAAAACCCAATAGGTCCCTACGACGCTCGGGTCTCTAGGGCTCCCTTACTGAAATCAACCCTACGATTAGTATCTGAGAAATAGGGCCCGATTTGCAAAAAATGGTGAATGCGCCGATTGTAGTATTCAGACCAAAATCAACGGCAAAGCAATAACCACGACTCAGAGAATCGAACTGTCATATTGAGTTCTCTGAATTTTCGAACAACACGTGCCAGATATATATTCCAGAACTAACATCTATAAATCAACTTGTTCTTAAATTGACCGTGTAAGTATCATCAGCAGCAACACACCTCCCAACACCTTCCTTCAAGGTGTTTTTATAAAATACTTTTTTCAGTAAATCAAGTCTCCGAGTATTTGGTCTGAGAATCAGTGGCGTAGCTTGCTATTCAGGGGCCCCATATCAAAATTTGTAGGGGAGGAGGGTCACCCAACTGTGGCAAATCCCAAATGGAGGATACAATTATAGTACAGTATAGATTTTTACAAAAGAGACAAACGCTTGACTTAAATAATATTCATTGCCAGTCGGAGGGCGTGGATCATCACCAAGAGATAATTTTCTGTAAGCTTTTTGAAGAGTTTTTCGTGGTCAGGGCGTGGGGGAGTGTTGATTACTGTGAATGTGAAAATTTTTGAAATTCGGATAAATGTTTTTTGTTTTGCGATGTCTATAACACTGAAATCCATGTGGGGTCATAGTAGATGATGATACTTAATTTTGAAAATCATCTAAATGGCAGTAGTGTTATGAGAAATAGCTTTCAGATTGTCTCAAAGTTTGTATTTGTATGCTTCACAACTTTCTGAATATTTTTAAGGGCAATCTTAGTAGAGAGGTTACAATTCCTAAAAATTTCGAAAATTTGCTTTTATATTGACTCATGGAAAAATTGGAAATATGGATACGTGAATGCTTGGGAAGTACCGAGACAAAATCTGCTTACCACTATATTTTCCGAAATTTATTTTATTAAGCCATCCATTGCAAAAGACAATTTTAGTGTTTCGGAATTTTCAGTCTCTAGATTAAATACCTGCACAGAACTACAGTTGCCACTTTCACCATTTTTCAAAAAAAAAAAAAACAAAAAACGGGAAAACCTCATCTCCCTATTTCTCAGCAACTCAGAAACTAATCATTGCTTTGGTCCCATAATAACTTTTGTATAACAATGCGAGAAATATATCTATCTAAATTTTTTGGAAAATGGACTAGGGCCCATTTTCTATATATTTTATGCGGGCTCCTTTATTCTTCAACAATTCGAATAAAAAAAAGCGTCAGATCAAAATATGCATAATGTCACTTACCGACTTGTTTTTAGGATATTCACAAAGATGGAAATAGAAGAAATAAGAAAAATCACGATGTGGGACATAATCGTAAATAGTACTGATATAGAATCAGACGCTATCCAGAAAAACGTGTTTTTCTGGATGGATGGAGATCCGTGTCCGCAACCCATGCAGCTCAACGTTTCTGAAATGGAACCTTGCAAAATCATCACTGGTTATGATTATTTTGAGGTAAACAAAAACTGCATTGGTTTCATAAGCAAAATATTTATCTATGAGCAAATGCAAAATTTCTCGCAAATATTTTTGGCAGCCAATCGTTACCCTAGGTAGAGTTAGAAAGGCAATTAATTTGGGAAGCTAATTATTTTAATTTGTAGCTCTATCATGCCCGAAGTGTGAGACTTTTCAAAATACTAATAAAAACTCTCAGTCATTCTCCATGCATCTCACCACGGAAGTGCGTTAGAGCATTTCGTCATGGTGGGGTGCGTCTCGCTAACGTTCACACGATTTCTTGCAGGGCAATGAACTAATATACATCTACGCCTGCCTGTTCCTCGGCTTCGTCCCGATCCTCTGCGCAGGCGCGGGCTACAGCGTTGTAAAATTACAGAATCGACAAAGAAGAAGGCTCAAAATCAAACAGGATGAATTGAGAAATGGCGATGTTAAACTTCCAGTGGATACTATGATAGTCCGGGAATGGCTGCATGCCAACCATAAACGAGCTGTCAAAGTCAAGTTTGGTCCCGATGCAGCGATACATATTATAGGTAACATTCTCTCCAACTTAAACATTTTCAGCGTGCCACTGACTATTTCAATTTTAATAAATTACTCTTAGAACTTGTGCGATAAAAATCTAATTATTTAATTGTTATATGAAATAATGAAACAAAGAGTATATCATGCCAAATAAAGATAGGTCGATAAATATGTTTTATTGTCTGAAGAATACAATCATTTAATGACAAAACTAACTCAAAACTAAACTATGACATAATTACGTATGTGGATCTAAAGTAGGTGAATTGTAGAACCCACACATAGTTATAATATGGTTTATATATTAAAAAGTTTTTAAGTTTACGGCGGAATATCTTTAAATTGTTAGTTCTTTTGACAGTATCAGGGAGACACGTGCACATAAAGTCCATTATAAATTATTGAGTCTTCACAACTGTTGATTTAGGTACTACTGATTTAAGATTTTGTTTACGTCTAATATTGTAACTCATATTTAATGTTTCAAATTTAGATTTATTGTCAAAAATAAGAGTTGATGTTTCTAAAATGAACAATGATACGACAGTCATTATTTACAAATAAAGGCAAGCATCTGGTTCTATGAGTGCTTTTAGTTATATACCTAGTAGACCTTTTTGGTATAATTTATTTTTTACATAATTAAGGTTGAAAAACGTTTTCACAAACATATGTATTGCAAAGCTCTCGTAACTGAGACACTAAGTAACGCTGAGATATCCTTGCACTCATGACGCTTAGGCAAACAGAGTAACGCCACCGTTTGTCAAGAGCGGTATACATTACTGCATAAGGATCGGCCGACATCAGGAGCATTCGAAAAGCATCGATCGACATCTAGAGAACTTTGATAAAGCTCGGCATTGTTCTGGAATTCTCCAGTTTTGAAATAAATGCTCAGGTGTCTCCACCTGAGGAACAGTCGAGTAGTTAACAGCGCAGAACTCGATAGTCCAGTCGACAGGTTATACATTTGGCATAAATTAGTTACATATTTTGTATTGTAACTCTAAGTCAGTTATTGCCAGAAAGTCTTATTTTGGTGTCATTTCTAAAGAACTTTTTGGTTTCGAAGACACTTTATTGGCAAAAAGATTTTTTTGGCGCATAATAATTTTGCAGTTTAGTAAGTTCCAACTGAATATTGGCAGGATAACTAACTGTTTTAGTCAAAGTGATCATGAAAGGATTCATAAAAAATTTTATACCTACAGATTTTGTTTTTACTTGAGAGGTCCCGAAATCTAATCCCAAACGACTGTAATAAGCATCTAACTCTAACAATATTGAGCTTCTCTTTCAAATGATTTGGTGTGGGTGAAACGAAAATATTTCCTGTGGATAAGTTGATTGAATTGCTTTGAATTCGCTTATCAATTAAACATAGTCGGAAGTGAACAGTATTTATCTTGTAACAGTCATCATATTAGACGAAAATACCCCTGCCTTGCGAAATTATTGTAAAGTCTGGTTTTATTGATGAAAGTTGTTCAATACATGGACGCATAAAATGCATGTGCAATAGGAAATTTTTGAATTTGTATAGAAGAAAAAAAAAGTAACCCTTCGTTTTTTGCATAAAAATAACAATAATGGCTTGTGATTCATGTCGTAATGTAAACAGGTGTATTTTTCTATAAAATACTCTTTTAACGAACCCTGTATATTGTTCACTAAACAAGTAGTGATGGCCAAAAGTCATGTGTTTTGGGATAAACAATTAGAAATTCTCAAAAACTACTTGATCAATCGACTCCTATTTTGTTAGTTGTTTAGAAATAAGAAGCCTTCGGATTTGAATAATTTCAAGTAGTTGCGTGAAATTATTGTCGTATTAGCAAAAAGTGCCATAACCTACATTTTGCATCGATTTTCGTCCATAACTTTTTCACTATCAGTGGGATGTTTTTACGTGTGGTCTCATTCTGTAGGTCTCATAAACATCTAAAAATCTCTTGGTTGCGCGTGGCATTTAAAATCCTGAAGTCTAAAGGCAAGCTAAATGAGGAACACCCCTCCGTAAAAACCTTCATTGATTCTACTAACGCTCGAGTATCAATAAGCCATGTCACAGTCAGGGTGGATCGTAATAAATGTGGTAAATTTATTTTGACAGTGAGCCAAACATGCTTTAGTATGGTTCTGCTTCTGTATGAGATGCTTGATGGCGAAGCTTGATTTTTGAAATCGTTATTTCTCTATAACTCGAGCTGGCTTGGTAATACCGGTATGAAAAATGTGAATCTGCAGTTTCTGAGTATGGAGAAATAATATTATCAGAAATTTGACCTCGACACACTGCATTTTAGTAACTACATTTAGCTACATTTCACTGAGTCGTGTTTGGTGCAATCTAGGGTTGCCTTTTTGTTCACCACCGTGTACAATTATACAAATTATTTTTTGTGTTTCTACCCGTTTTGCAGGCAGAAAAGGTGAAAAATTGAGGACAATCAATCTGAAAAACTTAGACACGGTAACACTGGAAGAATCTGTGGATATAACTTCCAAGAAAAAGCCTATGATATTGATCCACATACCCAGAGATCACGATTTAGTATTAGAGATGGAAACTGTGGGAATTAAGAAGAAGTTCATGAATAAACTCGAGCTATTCTTGCATCAAAGCAAAAAGAACATAGAGGTATTTCTATGAAACAATTGAAACACAGTTCTAGGGTGCTTCAAAAGTAGGGTAAAATATTTAAGAATGCGATTTTTGAGTCCGTTTTAAGAAAACAACTTTACTTGGACGCGCGTATTCACAAAATATTTTGTAATATCGATGATACTGTGCCAGATATTTTAATGAATTTTGGTAGGTACACGGCCACAATTTTTTATTTGCTCCAGGAATCTGAACTCAATAAATTTAAAAAAGGTTTGAAGCCACCTCTTTTTACTTCCCATGCCTACTGGCGAGGAAGTATTCTAATCGCGAAACATTTAATAATATGCATATTATGATTTTTGGATATTTTATATAACGAACGAAAAACAGCAACTATCCTCTATCCAGGATATAAGGTATATGGTGCTGTCTCATTTTGATACGGCCTAACATATGCTGAACAGAATCCGTTATGATCTGATGGCGTTGGGTGAAAAGTTTAGAGTCAACCTACTTAACGCCTTTTTTCCGTAACAATAATTATTTTTACCACTCTCATTCATATATGGGCTCTAGTTTTTTGATTTTCTTTGGGCCGCTTTTCGCGTAAAAAATGAGAGAACAGTTGCATATCATACTCAGTGATAGTAGAAGTGTTACACCCAGAAAAAATAATTTTATCAACTTGATTTTTTGGCAGTGCGGTAGTCTTACATCAAGAATGAAACAATAACATTCTTACGAAATTTTATTGACAAGTAAGAAGAAAAAAAAATAATAATGTGTTGGGCCACATCACAGCTGAATACACTCCTGTATACGTCTAGGCATCGACAAAATGGGATGATCGATGTCTGGTTGTGGCACCTCATTCCAAGCTAGTCGAACTTCGTGGACTAGCTGTGGTAGAGTCAGTGGTGGATGGTGCAAAGTGAATAGTCTCCTCTCCATCATCTCACACAAGTTCGATGGGATTTAAATCCGATGAACGGGGTGGCCACGGCAAAACATTAACGCCTGCTTCTTGAAGTACGACTAGCAATATGGGGGTGTGCGTTGTTTTTCTGAAAAAGGACGTGTGGAAGAGCAGGGATGATCGGTTACCATAGGCAATAGCCCCCCAAACCATTACTCCAACTGTCCTGTGTACATGTCTCTCAAGAGCAAATCCAATATCACGCCATTCTCATGGCGGCGTCTTACCCTTCTAGGACAATCGTGCGTACTTGCGTACTTTCTGCGTCTCACTACTGCCGTTCCCTGCTCCAGTTCAAACGTTGACGACAGTGGTCCGCAGTCAGAGGAAGCACTAACCGTGGACGGTATGAAAAAAGTCCAAAGGATCGATTGCGTCAGATAGAGAGTACGCACAGTAACAGGTCTACCTTCTTCTCCAAACAATTGGTCAGCGATCTGACGCGTAGTAGCAAGACGGTCTCGTAGGGCTAGTTGTCGGAAGCGCCAATAATTCTACCCTTGTCAGAGTTGTTAACATGGTGATAATTTGGAGGCACAACTCGATGCATTTTATTATTCTTTAGCACTAGTAAATGAAAGGGCAATATCTAAAAATATCTGTACAACTCAGCTCTCACAAAAACAGATAACATTTTAACAAAGGTAAAACGTTCCTATTGTTGCCACAGCATGCTTTAAATATGGTCATTATGTTGCCAAAAAACAAAATGAAGAAATATTTTCTTCTGGGTGTAACACTTCTAATGTCACCGAGTATATTTTTTCTTCAAATAATTTGGCTCAAACCTGCAAGAACGAAAGAGATAAGAAATGTGGAATATCTGGAAATCCCTCTTAATTTCATTAGAACATAAAACTGCAAACTACCACCTACCACCTGCAATTCGAAATAAAACGAGTTTAGGACACACGTTCATATGAAACTTTTTTCCTGAAATGCACCCAAAAAAAGAGCCTCTCAAATATTTCATTTCACTTTTGAAAGACCTTGTATAATACTTTCCTTTAACGTTTTGTTATTTCAATTTATCAGCCCTCTACCCTAAAAGAGTTGCTCTTTGAATTATGTATATTTTTTAGCTTACTCAAGTGATAAGAGAAATTATGCTAGCCAAAGCCGAGACAAGACAAAAGCGAGAAAACAAACTAGAAAGCTTCTTTAGAGAAGCGTACGCTTTAGCATTCGGTCTAAGACCAGGAGAGAAAAGAAAGAAATCTGAAGATAACCTAAGCGGAGAAGTAGTTACAGTCATGAGGACATCGTTGACCAAAAGTGAATTCGCCAGTGCTTTGGGCATGAAGTCCGATGCTGTTTTTGTACAGAAAATGTTTAATATTGTGGATAAAGATGGAGACGGAAGGATATCTTTCCAAGTAAGTTCATTTTATGCATCAGAAAATTCTGTCGACGATATGCTCCAGAAAAATGGTGTCCCACAGGGTTCAGTACTGGGACCCACCCTTCAATTTGTTTTCATACATCACGTTTCAAGTTCCACGAAAACTAAATTTCTTCATATTGCTGAGTGCAATGATATAATTAAAATGGTTTTAGGGTTAAATTAATTGATATTATGCATAAAGGTAGTTTTTAGAATAGCGACTCAAAGACCCAATGCTGCACAACTCTCAAACACTCGTACGTCACCCTATACGGAATCCAAAAATCACTCAAGTGTGAGTTATTCTTAGACATGGGACGACAACATAAGTTTTAAAGTAATATTATCAGACCAGAAAGAAGTAAAACATACTGTTGTTAGTATTTCTCCCGGACTGGCCAATGGTGATCGCGGATTCGTTCTCGACAATAACCTTGAAAGTTATGGTCATGGTGAGGTAAATTCTTTTTCCCAAGAAAGTGGACAATGCGAAAAATCTACATTCAGGTGGTACTTGATCGTTTTGAACTGCCTAAGGACAGTAGAACTAGGAACAGCCTCCTCTTTTAGATGGTCCACAATCTCGACACCCCAGGGATAAAGGAGCGGTCTTACCGGCTAGTTCTGGATGTACGAAGTTCGACACAGTTAGGATGGGAGGCCGAAGTCAGCCGGGTCTGCCTGACACATCGCGCATCATGGAAGAGTCCTCTGAGGAGAAAACCCCATTGGTGAAGCGGTGGAAGTAAGCTAGATCGCCAACGGCCCGCCGGTGCGAAAGGGTCTCGAGACTGTCGGTTAGAAAAGAGTCATCGATCAGTCGGACAGCCCTCCTCTAAACAGTATCGAGCATGGATAATGTAGTCGGGATCGCAGCATCCCAAACCTGTGAGCAATACTCGAGGCTAGGGCCTTGTATACAGTGAGGAGGTCATGTGGAGAAAAGTACTTCTTAGCACTAAACAAATGGCTTAGGTTTTTCCTACCAGCTGTCGCTATTGACGAGATGTGTTCGTTCCAGATCAAGTCATCAGTGATCTGGACTCCGACTAGCCCAAATGAATGGCTCTTTGGCAGAACTCGGCCATCCATCGAAACCGAATGAGCAAGGACGTTTCTTGTTAGTCAAGGTAAAGAACTGTGATTTAGAAGCATTAAACTGTACAATATTGTTGGGACCCTTAGCAGTGATAACCTCCAGGTCTCTCGTTAGAGACAAGTCGCTGCTAGTATTCTTTTTTCCAACTCACTTACAGTGATCGGCTTGTCACTTTGAATTCCTGCATGTAGTGTACTGTCATCAGCAAAGCTATGTATTGGATAGGTCGTACAGGAAAGGAGGTCGTTGATATGTAAGAGGAACAGTCTCGAAGCCAAGACCGATCGCTGGGAACATTCGCGTTGGAAATATCTGTGGGATATCTTGTGGCCAGAGAGTAAGTCAGCCACCCATCTGGAAGGCCACAGGATGAAAGTTTTCATAAGAGGGCAGCATGGCTCAGCTGGTCGAACGCTTTGGTTATATAAAGAGCAACGACATGAGCCTCATCATGAGACTGGCTGAGCTTACTCCACAAATTCGTGACGTAAGCTAGGATGTCCACTGTAAGTAGCTGGTGCCGGAAACCATACTGCCTGTCGCTAATCAAGCCGTGACGTTCGAGGTACTCCAGAAACTCGCGATTTATGCACTTCTCTATCACCTTACTTATTACAGAAAGCAGAGCTATAGGCCTGCAGTTGTAAGGGTCGGTCTTAGATCCCTTTTTTGGGATGGGTTTGACACGTCAGTGGTGGAAGGCTACTCTTTGAGAAGTTCCTTTCAATCAATAGTGGGGTTTTGTAAGAAGGTTCTGCGTGCCTTGATCTTCTGCTGACAAGCATTTGTTGAACCAGAGATTATGCACTTTCACTGTATGAGGGACCAAGGTCATGGTCAGAAAACCCCTCACTTACCTCCTATAGGACCTAGAAGCTCCCCAATACGGGCGGATTGGTAGATATTTGATAGACTGTTATTAAGTTTTATTCCAGACTAGTCAATAGTAAACATGGATATGTGACCTTGAAGATTATGGTCAAGGTCAAGTTAAGTTTTGTGTTACTGGAAACGGGACATATGAGCCCTTGACCATGACATTCAAAGAGAAATTCTAACAACAGTCTTCTTCTCTGAGAATATTACTTATAAAACTTACGTTGTCCACCTATATCTATCGATTACCTCAGCTTGGGGGATCTCTGAGTTACATAGAAGGTCGGCAAGAATTTTTTGGTGGTTCGCCTCATTAGGACATTTGATCACCAAACTATCATGCAAAACTTCAGCTAAATTAGCAAAAAGCCGTTTTCTATAAGATAACTATGGGGTACTTTACATATTACTTTTTTAGGAATTCTTGGACACTGTGGTTCTGTTCTCAAGTGGAAAAACAGAGGACAAACTGAGCATCATTTTTGATATGTGCGATAACGACAGAAATGGAATCATAGATAAAATGGAGTTATCAGAAATGCTTAGATCTTTGGTGGAAATTGCTAGAACTACAAGTCTTTCAGATGATCACGTCACAGAGCTTATTGAAGGAATGTTTCAAGTAAGTTATGGTGTTACAGTTACAATATATACAAAAATCAATATAAAACTAATTTCAAGCTATACGTGAAATTCTGACTAAAGTTACGCATATTTGATTCAATATTTTTTTATGACCTTAAGCTAGGATTCATTATTTAAATGGCACATGGAAAGTTCCGTAAGTCCAAGTATTTCTGGAGATAAACAACAGAGAGTAAATTTTCCCAAAATCGTTTTTATTTTTTCCTGCCATTATTTGAAACGGGATTTTAGAAGTTATTACGAAAAAACTAATATTGTCATAGTAAGCCTTGAATGTGACAGTTTTTCATATGTTTATCCGATCAAATCACCAATGTTTCAGGTTGTGAGAAACGTACACAAAGGACATTCAGATGATTTACCCTTTTATCGTCTATAACAAGCGTTTTTTTTGCAGGATGAAATGTAAAATGCTTGCATCGGCTTAGATATGACGGATATAAAACGTTTTAAGGAGCTGCAACGTCGTCGAGGTTTTAATTTACCCTACAACATTTTTGCCAGATACACAAAATTATACTGTTGTTTTCAATACTACCCTTAATTATATGAAAAAATTATTAACTATGTTGTTCTCTATTCGATGTGTTGAGACGACCTGACCAACTATAGGAAGGTTACCTTTTTAGACGTTTAAATCTTTATTATACTTTGAAGTTGAGTCATTAATTTTCAGATAATGATTGTAGAAGGAAGATAAACCAAAATATGTGTGTAAAAATAAGAAAAAAATAAAAAAAAAATTTTACCTTGTTTTATAAAGTATCCTCCCGACAAGTATTTCAGTGCGGACCTGTATTTGATCGTGCGGTCTTGGAGCACCGGCATGCGCTCCCCTGTGAGGTCTCAAGTCACCTGATTCACGAGCCCTTTGTACTACATTCAGCATTTTCGTAAACATGTGGCATTTTTTATTTCGTTTGAGCCATGCAGCAAACACCACTATTCACTCACGCGTTACCGACTGACACATCGACTAAATACAACTGAATAAGATTGTACATTGTAGTAAAAACATCGTTTCAAATTCTGTCGCTTTTTTGTTTCCGATGCGATGAACGGATAAGGCGGATTATATCCGTTGTTGCCAAACACGAGCACATAATATTATTATTGAGACAGGGCGGTACTCAAACTTCTAAAGGGCTATAACTTTGTTACTTTAATTTTACCAGCAAAATGTTAAAGGAAAAAACATGTCTTTTGATCAGATCTACTCACTGTTAAAATAAATGATTCAACTTCGAAGTCACCCTGTATAGGGTATCCAGTGGGAAAGTTCATTTTTTGATTTAAGAAAAAATATAAACTTAATGAAAAGAAAATATTTATTACTATCAACATATTTCTAAATTCGGCGGGTTTTATTTTTTAAATTCCGACCAAATGTTTACCATCCCTTCGGACACACTCTTCTAATCGAAACACTCTCTTGCAGAGTTCCGGAGTGATGTTTATTTCTCGTCGAATTTTGTCTTTAAGCTCCTCCAGTGCTCGTGGATTATTGGAATACACTTTTGACTTTCGATAACCAAAAAATAATCGCATGGCGTGAGGTCGGGTGGCCTAGGAGGCCAGTGAATGCCTCCAAACTGCGATATAACTTTTTGAGGAAAAAGTGCTTTCACACAAGTCCTTCACTTCTCTGGAAGTATGAGCAGTGGCCCCTTCCTGTTGAAACCATGTGTTTCTATTAAATCGACGTTTTGTTCTTACAATAGGAGCAAAAAAGTGCCAATCATGTCCTTGTATCGCTCAGTATTGACTGACAGTGCATGATCGTTTCTTCAAAGAAATACGGCCCAATAATACCGCTAGAGGATATGGCGCACCAAACAGTCACCTTTGAACTATGGGTTCGTTGGTGCCCAATATCGGCAATTTTGCTGGTTCACATAGCCGTCTAGTGAAAATGGGCCTCGTCACAATAATACGTAATCACTTTCCTTAAATCATCACTGATTGGATTTTATAAGGATGAAAAACCATTTTTTCTTCATTATGCCATGCAGTGTTGACCTAGGGATTTCCAAAGCAGCGGAATCCTTCCGTACAGAACGCCGAGTATTTGCAATGACCGAATCACTTACTCGACGCACATTTTCTTCGGTTGATACAGTACGTGTGGGGCCAGGAATAGGTTGACTAAGAGTAAAGCCTGTTTCACGGAACCTCTTAATCCACTTTTTCAATAGGTTCTTACTTAGGGAATCTCTTGGTCGGCGAATGTTGTACAAAATTTCGAAGGGCAATTGCGTATGAATCAGCACTCTTAAAGTAAGCCTCGATGGCAAAAGCACGTTGCGCTCCGGTCCAACGTTCCATTGTGACTATTTAACCCGCACGCCGAACGTGCCGCGTAATTCAAATTTGAAATGTGAACTTTCCTACTGGACACCCATCTATCCGTGTCATGCTCTGTACAATATCACATCATTAAAATCGCAAATAGGGACTATTCACCTATACTTACTATACAGGGTGACTTCGAAGTTGAGTCATTTATTTTAACAGTGAATAGATCTGATCAAAAGAAATGTTTTTTTCCTTTACCATTTTTCTGGTAAAATTAAAGTAACAAAGTTATAGCCCTTTGGAAGTTTGAGTACCGCCCTGTCTCAATATCATGTGCTCGTGTTTGGCAACAACGGATATAATCCGCCTTACCGGTTCATCGCATCGGAAACAAAAAAGCGAAAGAATTTGGAACGATGTTTGTGTACAGTTTATTATTTTATTCAGTTCAGTTATACATACAGTCAGTGTCAGTGTCGCGTGTAAATAGTGTCTGTTGCGTGGCTCAAACGAAATAAAAAATGGCACATGTTTATGCGGATCGGTTTCCCAATCGAGTGCAACCAACCCCTCGTGCCTTTGTTAATGTAGTACAACGGGCTCGTGAATCAGGTGACTTAAGACCTCACAGGGGACCTCACGATCAAATACAGGTCCGCACTGAAATACTTGTCGGGAGAATACTTTATAAAACAAGGTAAAAAATTTTTTTTAATTTTTTTTATTTTTACACACATATTTTGGTTTATCTTCCTTCTACAATCATTATCTGAAAATTAATGACTCAACTTCAAAGTCACCCTGTATAAAAACTGGAGGAATGCTTGACTGATTATATTTCGAAACAAACTACTATCGGATAATTTCAATGCCTATTTAGAAAATTCTGTTTTTTTAATAACTAAGATTTGGTGTCAATATATGACACTATATATGTAATTTTGGAATCAGGATCAAAAACTCTATTCTATATAAAATCGAATTTGGCGCCTATAAGGAAAAATAAAGTGATCGAGAATAAGAGACGAAACGTCATATTGAAATCCTAATCATGCCACCTTGTACCTAAGAAGTGACAAAGTTGGTGTACTTTTTATTTTGGAATCCAACATCAAATAAAGACCGGAAAAAATGAAAATTATTTTAAGAAAATTCGGTTTTCCTCATATATGCATTCTTATGACGGAAATTTTGAGATCAGCGATGAGTTAGGGAAAAAACAACTGCTTTTTTCAACTAACGTGATTATTTTGTTGTTTACATTTTTCATTTGCCTCTTTCAGGATGCTGGCCTTGAAAGCAAGGATTACCTAACCTACTCAGACTTCAAGCAAATGATGAGAGAATACAAAGGCGACTTTGTAGCGATAGGACTTGACTGTAAAGGAGCAAAGCAGAACTTTCTAGACACTTCTACAAACGTTGCCAGAATGACTAATTTCCAGATAGAACCTTCTATGGACGTGAAGAAGAACTACTTCAAGAGGAAATGCGATGCTGTGACCACTTTTCTCGAAGAGAATAGGCAAAATATTTTTTATTTGTTTATATTTTACGTTGTGACGATAGCTCTCTTTGTGGAGAGATTCATACGTAAGTATTTCTTACAGCATCTAAAGTATAAGCTAACTAGACCATAGGTTCCTTCACTAGTTTAAAGTCTAAATTCAACTTCTCTTATCTTTCTGTTGATGTTACACAACATATAGGAATCGTCAATAAAACTGGGGAGAAAATAACAGCAAAACATCATTAAAATGAAACATTTGACAATAAAACAATTTTCTATACTTAAAACATTTAAAATGCCTATAAAGAGAAGAACTCTTCAACACTATTAAAACACCGAACGATCAGAATCTTTCTCAAACTATGATTGGACATCTCATTTGTTTGTTTCAGACTCATCTAGCGGATTTTTAAAAAAATGGAATCCTAAGTAATTTGGTGAAACTAATTAAATAAAGCTAGTGAATATCTATAATTAAATTATTTTACTTGGAGCATGTAAACTCATTTTAATAGTTCATTAATTTTAAATAAACGATAGCGTTTTTGTTAAATAAACTAGTTTCATAGAGACAAGAGAGCTGTTTGAGAAATCGGAGTTTCATTAGACTAATTTTCATTAAACTTGTTAGATGTTACAATTCAAGTTTTAATTGGTTTAACTGATCTTTTTTCTCAGTGTATATAAAGAAACAAATTAATGAGGCTGCGAAAATAAAATTATATAAGATGCAAGGGCAAGCTACTTAGTAGTTACAGTAGCAGACAAAAGTTTGGAAACAATATCAAATTTTTAAAAAGTGCTATTTTTTAATTTATTATTGAGGACATTTTTTTTCTCATATAGTTTGCTCACAGTCTTTAGGATACAAGTGAGAATTTGTGTTTGCTATGGTACGACAGACTGGCATTAAAATACCTTCATCTATTATGACCGAAAGTGAGACGACAAAAGTATGGAAACATATCCTTTATTACAAAATTAAATGCAATAATTCTACAAACAGATTTAAAAAATACTGTGTAGCCTTTAGCATTCAACACTGCCTTACATCTGCTGCTCTTAGAAGACACCCATTTTTGCACACGTCTGTTGGGATATCTTGCCAAATATTTTTTACATAATGAAATAAATCGCATCTATTTTCAGAATTTTTTCTTGTCAGTTGTCTTTTAACATGCTCCCAGAGATGTTCTATAGGGTTTATTGCGAAGGCCATGTAAGAACATTAACATTTTGTAGTCTTAACCAGTTGTTTACGAATTTTGAAGTATGCTTGGGATCATTCTCTTGCTGGAATGTCCATCATAAAGGCATTTATTCTTCAGCAAAAGGGAGAATGTGTTCACTAAGAATATCTTTGTAAAGTTTTTAATCCACTCTCCGAACAATTTTAACAATGGGACCCGTTCCAGAACTAGAAAAATAGCCTCAAACCATGATGTCGCCTCCACCGTGCTTAACTGTTGGCAACTGATACTTTTTGTCGAATCTTTCTCGTATTGGACGTCTCACATAAACCCGTATTCCATTGTTATTCTGTACAAGTTATATGAGTTTTAGCGAATTCAAGCCTAGCAACACGATTTTTTTTAAATGAGAGGCTTTTGCACTGGTCACCTATCAAAAAGCCCAAACCCACCAAGCGTCTCTGCACTGTTCTGACAGAAAGATTCTCGGCACCCTCTTCTACGATTCTTTTGAAAATCTGTGTGGGTGGCATTCGAGGATCTTCATGGGACAAACGTTTAATGTATCGATCCAAAACATAATCGTTTTTTCGGTCTTTCGCACCTGGTCCGCGTTGCTGTTGATCCGATTCTTGATATGTACTAATAATTTTCGAAATCGCCCCTTTGTTCATTTTTAATCTTTGCGAAATGTCAACATTTCTGATACCACTTCTAAATAATTCAATTACTTTGTCTCTTAAATCTTTCGAAATTCCTTTTACTTTTGCCATTCTCGCTGATGTTAATATTTACCGCACGCAATATCAGAGTATCGCAGAACGAATAAATACAACAAAACGGAAATGTTTCCATACTTTTGTCGTTACAAAAACTGTGGTATTTAGAAAAACGCGTGTTTCTATTTTCAGAGAATTTGAATATTGATAGATAAACCTTGTATTAGTACGGGAGTCAAAGATAGACTTTATTATTTATACAGGGTGTCCACAAAGTTGGGGTTTTCCTTTTCAGAAACAACTACCCTTGAAATAACAAAGGTAATGCGTAGTGAAACGAGAGCGACTAAGTAAAAAAAATAAAGGAAAAGTACTCACTCTCCAGTTGACGAGAAGGGCTAAGTACGTCTCTGCCCGAAATCATACCGCTCCAACAGAAAATGAAATCAGCTGATGCGCTACCGAACAGACGCACCATGCCAGTCCAAACATTCACCGAAAATGTTTGTTGAAAATATGCCCGACGGACAGCGTGCGGAAAGGAAAACCCCAACTTTGCGGACACCCTGTATTATCGGTTCCTTTACAATTTTAATTTAGGTATATGGTATGAAATAGTTCATAATAATGTTAATATTTGTTTCCAAACTTTTGTCCGTATTTAATCGAATGCACTACTCGAACTTCTTTTTTTCATGTTTTTTGTTGTTTCCTTCCAGATTACTCATTCATGACAGAACACACCGATCTCCGTCACATCATGGGCGTAGGCATAGCAATTACCAGAGGTTCAGCTGCCTCTCTATCATTCTGTTACTCCATACTCCTCTTGACCATGTCCAGAAACCTCATAACCAAACTTAAAGAGTTCTCCATCCATCAATATATACCCCTTGATGCCAATATCCAGTTCCATAAGATAGCCGCATCAACTGCGCTGTTTTTCTCATTACTCCACACAGTAAGTACTGAATCTGATCATACAGAGTGATTGAAAAAATAGTGGCAATAGAAAGTAGAGAGAAGAATCATATGAAGAATTTTAAAAATGCAGCTTCTAACATGTCTCTTACTGAGTGTGGAGGCTGTTGATATGGAATATGTATGGTATATTTTTTCAGATTACACAAGCAGATTTGTAACAACCAATGATCTTTTGTGTTGACCATTAGTAACTTTAAATACGGTCCTGTCTTGGAAAGTTGGGCAAATGATACAGGTGGGGCTGATTATTACCGAATAGAGCCCAATAAGATATAAGACCTACCATATACAGGGTGTCTGCGAAAGGTTGGGAAATCTCGAAACTGGAGATACTCCAGACCAAAATATGTGAATTGACCTAAACATACCTCAGTCCAGAATTTGATAGTTTGAGAGATACAGGGTGTCAAAGTTACAATTTTATTTTATATTTTTCCTTATTGCTTGAGAAATATTTCAGATTTTGGCATACAACTTGGTATTGAGAGGTTTTCTAGTATGAGAAATAAGAATCCGTTATTTTTTATGGCCAAACTTCTAGGGGGAGCCACTTACAGCACTATTTCGGTAAATAACTTATCATAACTTTTTTGTGCTACCGTGTATACAACTGACCAAAAAATCTTATTTTCTCGTATTTCCACAAAAAGTTTTGCACAATTATCTTTGTGCTCAAAATTAAAACAAAATGGTACCAAAGTTTATTTTACATACGATACACTGAGAAAACAATTAATTAAAACCACTTAAAAGTTTTATTATACCACTTAAGAAATTCGATTTACTATATGGTATAATAGGTATAACAAATTTTATTATTTTAATTGAATTCCGATTTCTAAAATAGTTTACTTGAATCTATGAAGCAAGTTTAACTTAACCAAAAAGCAATCGTTTTATCGAAATTATAAAACCATTTACTTAGAATGACTAAACCAATTTTTTTCAAATTATTGAATTATTTAAATGAGTTTACCTACTCGAAGTAAAACAGTCCAATTATATTAATTAAAAGTCTTTAATTAGTGTAGGTAAAAGTATTTCTTTAGTTTTAATGAACTTTTTCATTTATATTAAAAAGTACATTTGTATAATATTTGGAATTTAAAATAAATTGCATTTTACTGAATGATGTATATTACAACTGTGCTTAGACAAATTTAAGATTTCAAAAAATTTGAAAAACTTAATATTTAATAAAATAAAATCTTTCGGATTTTGTAATTGTAATGTAAACAAAATTCGAAATTTTGTAGTTCCATTGATTGCGATCTTATTATACAGGGTGACTTCGAAGTTGAGTCATTTATTTTAACAGTGAGTAGATCTGATCAAAAGAAATGTTTTTTCCTTTAACATTTTTCTGGTAAAATTAAATTAACAAAGTTATAGCCCTTTAGAAGTTTGAGTACCGCCCTGTCTCAATAATAATATTATGTACTCGTGTTTGGCAACAATGGATATAATCCGCATTATCGGTTCATCGCATCGGAAACAAAAAAGCGAAAGAATTTGAAACGTTTATCACGATGTCAGTCAATGTTTCAGTCGGTAACGCGTGAGTGAATAGTGGTGTTTGTTGCGTGGCTCAAACGAAATAAAAAATGGCACATGTTTACGAAGATGCTGAACTTGTGAACTTGTGGACATGATTCTTATTTAATCGAGTGCAACCAACCCCTCGTGCCTTTGTTAATGTAGTACAAAGTGCTCGTGAATCAGGTGACTTAAGACCTCACAGGGGAGGGCATACCGGTGCTCCAAGACCGCACGATCAAATACAGGTTCGCAATGAAATACTTTTCGGGAGGATACTTTATAAAACAAGGTAGCATTTTTTTTTTTATTTTTACACACATATTTTGGTCTATCTTCCTTCTACAATCATTATCTGAAAATTAATGACTCAACTTCAAAGTATATGGGATCAAGTTTCACCAGTCACTTGTCTGATTGTCCAGAAACAGTTATAAGATATGCCACCATTCGTTATGAAGACGATAGAGATGCACTTACGCACTCTAGCTCATACCACTCGACGTTCTTCGCTAAGCGTAGAAATGTCGCACCGCACCCGCACCGCACCGTTACGCTCAACTTGTCAAGTGGTCGGAATACCAGGTATTCACAGAGCCAACAAGCTTTGACTTTTCTGTGCCTACTTGCCTAAAAGACACGGCTGAAAAAGACATGTTTGCTTTGCGCCTCCTGTAACCATGACCATCCGCTGACAGCAGTGTTTCGTGCTCATTAGCAGTTCATCAGTGCGGTATAGGTTATTAGGAGACAAAACGTAAAGCAAACAAATGTATGGTCTTTTGGAAAACTCAAGACATTGTGCGCAACATGGCCTTACTAAAAGTTTTCTAGTTTTCGAGATATTACCACTTTTAGGTTTTTCAAAAAATCACTACTTTTTGCTCCTTTTTTGCCTGTTATGGCTATTAAAAAACTTATAAGTTTTTTCCTGGACTACCATTAATAGATGGTTGAGACAACCAAGTATTTATTTAATTGAAAACTAGCACGGTATGCTAAAAAAATATATTTTGTTTCAATGTGAAAACCTTTACTAAAGTTTTACTAATTACTGTGAAAAAAGTGTACCAGATTGAATCGGCAAATGATCTTAAAAACTAGCCTATTTAATGCTCTTTTAAAATAGTATAAAATTTGTAGGTTCTTTCTACTAAAAATTGAATAATTTCAAGTTCTGTCATTGAAGTTGTATGTCGTAATACTTGCGAAATACTACAAATGAAAAATAAGTGCAGCCGTCTTTTGCATCCAAATCACTAAGTAATGAAACGACCTAAACATGTCATTGACTATCTCGCTTTCAAATTCATTGTTCGGTTGGTAGCATTATGTCACCTCGAGAAACAGAGTTAATTTAGTACTGCTCCTTGTGTTAGTGCTACACACGTGTTATTGTTATTTGGCTCTTTCGCTGTTTAGGTCGTTGCATTCCTTAGTGATTTAGACTCAAAAGACTGCTGCACTTATTTTTTATTTGTAGTATTTCGCAAGTATTACGACTTCAATGACAACACTTTGGATTATTCAATTTTTAGTAGAAGGAACCTACAAATGTTATACTATTTTTAAAAGAGCATTAATAGGCTAGTTTTTAAGATCATTTGCCGATTCAGTCTGGTACCTTTTTTTTCACAGTAATCAGCCAAACTTTAATAAAGATTTTCACATTGAAACAAAATGAATTATTTTTTTTTTAGCATACTGTGCTAGTTTTCAATGAAATGAATACTCGGTTGTCTCAACCAACTATTAATGGTAGCCCAGGAAAAAATTTAGAAGTTCTTAGTAGCCATAAAAAGAGCAAAAAGTAGTGATTTTTTGAAAAAACTTAAAAGTGGCAATATCTCGAAAACTAGAAAACGTTTACTAAGGTCATGTTGATTTTATTTGATTGATCTGAAGCTAATCTACCTCACGTGTCACTCTAGCGTGTTATTTCTGGGATACCCTGTATAATGTTAAAAAAAATCGATTATACCTGTATATCAACTTGTTGCGCGCCTGCTACAAGTGAGCATAAAGTGAACGACAGCTAGTTTCTAGTTGACATCTAAGAGAACCTATATAATGTCATAAAAACCTAAATAATGTCAAAAAACCACATTATGTCACTTTTCAAGTTACGAAATACCCCTGCCGCTCGACGTTCTAAGCTAAGCGCAGATATAACCAATAAAAGTTGAAACAAAAGAACACACAATTATAATGAAAATTCAACAACTGCTTTTATTGGCACAACATTTTTATTCATATTTTGTGTTTCAGTCTGTTTTATTATAGACTTGATGTAACGGCCACACGCTCATATAAAAAATTATAGATATTGAGAAACGGTTGAATTTTGAAATAAAATGGAGTTTTAAAGAACAATATGGAATTAAAATAAAAAATGTCATAAAGCAGATTGTCTCTATACTTCCCACCCCTGGACTTTTTTAGCCAACCCACGAGCGATATATTTTTAACATACTAAATTTGTTATTTTCATCCATTAAACAGGTGGGTGAAGATCGTTTCTAAAGGATCCCCCACACCGATGCAGTAAGGCGCTATCGACGATAAACGCACCGCTGTCCATGTGGTACCCAGTTTTAAGAGCGGTAAATAACACCGATCACACCAGCGCGGTGGGGTGGCCCGCGGCTTATCGCCTTGACAACGTTTCATTTCAGAAACGCTGCTGACGCGGTTCGTATCGCATATCGCCACGTTTTTCACGATGTCCACAACGGAAAAATTAATTGAGCAAAGTACCCAATATTGAACGATTCAAGTCACGAAGACTATGAAAATTGCAGGAAAAAGGATAAAATGTGGTATTACATTAAATTTAAGATTTCATCAAAACAATCGGGAGTGATTGGAAAGAATACGTAAAAACGCTGTGGATTTCTACGTAATTCGAGCATTAAAGTATGAAATTATCCATATGTCCTTCTTTGTTTATTGATATCATGTATCCATTTCTTCTTTTTCCTTAAACACAATTATTAATTATTATGAACAAATGATTATAATCAAAATACTTACCCATTTCCCCTTTATCTTCTGCTAAGGCCAATAATAATAATAGTTCTTCCTCAACAGAAGACATAGTGTATGAAATCAAAAAACGTTTGAGAATATCGCGCAGATGAGAAAACTGTCGCATCGCGGTGGTGTGAATGTGCAGCTATCGCGCTAAATGCGATTTTTAACTCTGACGCTACCGCTATCGCTGTATCGCGTCGGTGTTGGGGAACCTTAATTTAAATCTTCCACTATGTTTTTGTATTCCTACGTGTTGACCTGTACCTCAATTTCTCTAAAAACAATCTTTGTTTATTACATAAAGGTAGGTCACCTAGTGAACTTCTACCACGTCTCCACGCAACCTATCGAGAACCTGAAATGCCTCACGAGCGAGATGAGCTTCCCGTCCGACTACAAGCCAGGCATCGCCTTCTGGCTCTTCCAAACTGTCACCGGTATCAGCGGCGTTCTGCTCTTCATCATCATGTGCATCATCGTCATCTTCGCGCATCCCATTGTCAGAAAGAAGGCGTACAAGTTCTTCTGGTTCACGCATAGTCTTTACGTGTTGTTCTATGGACTGTGTCTGGTGCATGGACTGGCGCGTCTGACCGCTCCGCCGAGGTTTTGGTTGTATTTCATCGTTCCTGGGATTATATTTGCTCTGGACAAGGTGAGTTCTTCCCAAATATATACAAGGCGATTCGAGAAAAGTGAGAATATTTTTCGAACAGAGGGCACGTCAACAAAATATCATACAGGGTGTTCCGTACTTAAATGGACATATTGAAATGGTAAATTATTTTTCACGAGTATCCACTACGCGAACCGTAACAGCAAATAACAGCTGAGTATATAGTAATATTTAAAAATTCCCCATATCGATGTGGCACACAATTCTGACAGATCTGTCGACACTAGATCTGTGGACAGAGTCGTATCTTGTTGTGGTCTTTTGTTCGTTACGGTTTCATACTCCCTAACAACCTTTTATTTAGAAAAGTTACTTTGCGCACAAGAGAAAACGCTTCAAGCAAAATGGCTGCTAATGACCATGACTACATTTCCTGAGTTTTACCCGATTCATACCTGGTTCATTAGTGCCAGCACTACAGACTTTAATATAGAGATGTTACTTGGTGATCAGCTGTTTAGCTCAGTAGACGTCAAAAAGGAATGGATACTCCTAAAAAATACTTTGGGGGGTTAAAAATTCGGGGTTTCCCCGGTAATTCTGCGCACCCTTTAGACAGATTTCACATAGATTTATCCGTACAATTTGCCTTTGTCTGCCAGTCTGTTTTGGTTCCGGTCATATTCGTCAGCGGGCTTACTCATAATAAAAAGCCATCCTCATAGCAATGTTACCGTTGCTACACATGTTCTTAGTTGACTTTTTTTAATTCTGAAATTAATTTTATGAACTGACGATAACGTTGCTTGGGAAGTACAGAGTTAATCTACTCGACGGAATTTTTATTTTGCAGGTTGTAAGTTTAAGAACCAGATATATCCCACTGGACGTCCTCGAAACAGAATTATTACCTTCCGACGTGATCAAAATAAAGTTTTACCGACCACCGAATCTGAAATACTTGTCAGGACAATGGGTGAGATTGGCCTGTACAGCCTTCAAATGTAACGAATTTCATTCATTTACTTTGACGTCAGCTCCGCACGAAAACTTCTTGTCTGTACACATCAAAGCCCAAGGTATGTATAATATACTTGTGACTAGCCTAAGCCTCGCTGTACCTACAGGTCATTCGCTTTCATTTTATAATTTTCGCCAGTGGCATTCATACGGAACTTCATCTGCTTATTTTGGCAGACATTGACAATCATTCAGAATAAAAATTATTCTTGAAATTCTCAATAAAATCTAGGTAAATGTGATGGCTTGACTTTTTCCAATCCGACGTATGGTTTTCGCTTAGAAAAATAAAAACCGTATCTCTGCGTGATCATAATAATATCATTAGTATGACAAATATCGTCATGCAATGTCTCCCAAAATAGGCAGGTGAAATGCCGTACGAACACCACTGGTGGACATTGAAATATCTAAAGTGGTACTTCATACATAGTAAATGTATGTCAAACTTTAAAATATCTAAAGTGGAATTACAGATATAAATGATGAATTATTTATTTTTGAAAACTCCACCAGTCTGTATCTCAACGGTTAAGATGCTTGAGACATACGTTCATATGAAGATTTCTTCTTGAAATGTAATATTTTTTAGAGCAAATTATTTAAATTTCGAAAAATCCATTTTTTTAAATACACCTCAGATGTACAGCAAAATGGTAGATACTTCAGGTACCTATCTAATCTTCATTATATGGTATCTAACTTTAATTTTCAACCATAACTTCTATTCTACAGAATAAGAATCCCCGCCCTTTATCAAAACAGTTAAATATTACACATTTCTTATTCAAACCACGAAAACATTATAGGTCCTTGGACCTGGAAATTAAGGAATTACTTCGAATCCTGTCACTACACTCCTGACGACCAACCAAAAATCCTTCTGGAAGGACCTTTTGGAGGTGGAAATCAAGATTGGTACAAATTCGAAGTTGCTGTAATGGTGGGAGGTGGTATTGGAGTGACCCCTTATGCGTCTATCTTAAATGATCTCGTTTTCGGAACTTCTACCAATAGATATTCTGGAGTTGCTTGCAAAAAGGTAAGGCAATAAGGACGGCTTCAATGTAGAAGTAGAAATAAATCATGAAGCCTGACGCCTAGACCACGTTGGGCACTATTTGCTAATCCACCATCATTAACTAATTAACTACAACAATTTTATATATATTATTTTATATAGTTATAGTTTCATTAAAACCCTTCTATTTTTGAAGTAGATATAAGTAATTTGAAAATAACCAACAACCAACAGTTCTTTTGCAACGCATTTTTTATTAAGTTATTGATTTGACGTCATACTTAGTAAAACTGTAATAGAACACTATACAACTTTTGTATCAAACATTTTGTCATAAAAAGTCCAGTTTGGAAAATAAAAGCAAGACACCATTTTTGGCAACAATTTTTTAGAAAAATCGAAAGAAATAAACTGTTGCATCTTAAAGAAACTAAATCACCGTATTTTGATCTCACCCTTCTATTTAGCTGCATATCTCCTTTAATTTAGACACTGAAAACCTCAACCTCAAACAATCTCCCTATTCTGTCGAACTTAACGCAAAGCTTTTTTAACTTTTAGGTATACTTTTTGTGGATATGTCCATCGCACAAGCATTTTGAATGGTTCATCGATGTTCTGAGGGACGTGGAGAAGAAAGATGTAACTAACGTCCTCGAAATACATATTTTCATCACGCAGTTTTTCCATAAGTTTGACTTGAGGACGACAATGCTTGTAAGTGTTATACTTTGATACCGACTCCATGATATAAAATAATACATATGGTAGTGTGCTTAAATTTTGGGACTTTCCTTTGCACGGCGTATCATTATTCTATAAATGAAAAGTTTTCCTAGTAACACATACAACAATGTTTTGTGGTAACCAATTTATTACATTCCGAAAAAATCTGCAATAGCAAATCTGATCCTGCCTCCAGCTGGAAAAGATATGACGTACATCAGTATTCAACCAAGCGCTGCACACAGCGTGTAGGTAAACAGAACTGTTTGTTTACAAATCGGATTAGAAAAACTGGAAATGAAAGTTCCTATAACAATAACGAACTTGCCGATTTGATGTTAATTCACGGTGAGCGACTTCAAGACGCTTCAGATGTTTCGCGGGTGTACTTAGATCATCTTCCTAGACGTTTTCGTCCCGCGTCCCATATATTTGCTTATTTCGCACATCATCTGCTTGTAGGAACGTCAAGTTGAGCACAGTAGAAGACCTATGTAGCTCCGAATGTTGTAATTTGAGTCAACAAACTTGTGTTTTTGAGTTAGATGTAGATAATATGTAATATCAAATTTTTTATCCAAAGAACGGTGCGTGCTTTTTCTCATTTTTTTTATTTCATCGCTGTTGCTTTCGAAAAGGTCCTACTTTCAAAACACCTTGTATTTATCTGAGAAAATTGTCTACTATTTGTTCAAACTTTTAGCTATTTCTCGATGCCTGAGTTTTTGGATACGTAATTTATTTCTCATTTTATTTTTATAGTATATCTGCGAGAACCACTTCCAAAGATTATCTAAGACGTCCATTTTCACCGGCTTGAAAGCAGTGAACCACTTTGGTCGGCCAGATATGACGTCATTCCTGAAGTTTGTGCAAAAAAGACACAACTACGTGAGCAAGATAGGTGTCTTTAGCTGTGGACCCAGACCCTTGACAAAAAGTGTAATGTCAGCGTGTGACGAAGTCAACCAGGGTCGTAAACTGCCTTATTTCATACACCACTTCGAAAACTTTGGATGAATGTAGAGATTAATTGTATAGTTGGTATTTCTTTGTGTATTTTTATAAATAAATTATTCATTTTTCAGCTATCTGTGTTTAATTGTTACACGTTACCATCACTGGGATTTTTTTTCTCCTGAATCAGTAGTTTTTAAAGAAATCATGGTGACGTAGAACACATTGCAGATTCATCTTTATTATATTTTTTTTCAGCAAAAATAAAATCAGCCCACTGCAAAAACTACAAAATATGGGAATGCAGGTAATTTTGCAATATAACAGATAGACAAGTATTGATAACAGGTTAAATATTCTACAGTGGTTGCCTGTAACCCAACATCTTTACTTAATGATCATAGCATGTATATTCAAAATTGTAAAAACTGTTTAACTACACATCTGGGAAGAAACATTGAATATTCGTACCTATTAGACCAGAACCAACTCCTTTCATTTGATTGAAACCGATAAAGTGTGCACAAGGAAAACAATCAGGTACAAGGGTCTAAGGGAATATAATAAGTTACCTGATCAAATAAAGAATGCAGTGACTGTTGGTCATTTCAAGAAAGCACTTGTCATGCATATGAGAGCTGGCAATGTTTAAATTTAATATAATTAGAATTCGTTGAATTTGTTTTTTTTATTGTGAGCTGCTGTGCGCCAGCAATTTTTGTTATTACTTCCACTATTCAGGGTGTCCCATTTCAAGCAACCCACCCTAAATATTTCGAAAACAATGTGCATCAAGCAAAATTCAGTAAAAATAATGGTGGCCTTGATTACGACTTTTAAGGAGGTTTTCGAGTTCAGTGGAACGTTCTCAAATATAACACGCTTTTTACACCAGAATCAAAAGGAACGGGAAACCTTACGACCGAATGTGATCATGACCATGACCTTCACCGTTTCCTTCAACGCCATTTCAAGGTCTAATAGAAGCCGTTGAAAAACATTACTCTAGTAAAAATGTTAAAAAGCAAAGTTGTAAGGTTTGTGGTGTATACCCCAATGTGACCTTGGCCATAACCTTAACATTCAAGACCAAGACAAACTTTCCCCAAAAACCTTTTTTTGACATTGGAAATGGAAAACGCAGCAAATTTTTTGTCTGAATGGGACCTTGGCCTCAAAGTCAAGCTCAAATGTTATTCGAGGATGAGGTCACATTCGGACTGCATTTTCCATTCCTAGTATAAGAATGAGAGGCTTCCTTTGCAAATTTTGAATCGATCTTTGAGGTAGTGGTCAAGGCCATCTTTGAGTGATCCCCCACAAACGTTACAACTGAGTTTTCGAACATTTTTGTTTTGAATGTCTTGGCGGAAGTATTATTTAAACATAAGATTTCCACCTTTTTTCAATTTCGATGTGAAAATATTCACTTGACCTTGAATCAATTGCACTATACTCCTGGCAAATCCATTTCGATTTTATTAAAACTAATGACACAAATATACAACTTTCACAATATATACCAATCACCTTATATAATTACATCGTTTAAGATCTGTTAGCAAAAATAAATGTTACAATTTATAACAAACATTCATGACTTTATCGATAAATACATCTTTCCCTTCAAAGTTTGCTTGACAGGGTTGATTTTTTTCAAGATCTGGGTCATGATGTTGACTAGCTGTTCACTGGACAAACCAGTCTTCTTAGATTTGAACTTTTGCAACAACTCAGTTGTCGTCATAGGTTTTCTCATCAGATATTTTCTTACTGCATCTTCTGTTATACCGGACTCACTGAAAAGAAATTAGAAGCAAATAAAAAGTGACCAGCATGAATGTGGAAGACAACGTTGACGAGAAAATTTCGAGGCGGTGAGTCAACAGTGAAAAACATATGTCTGTGAGCTTACACAAACAAACGTCTATATGCACTGAAAACCAAATTTGTCTGACAGCTTGAGTTCAATGTCAAATCTGTTTAGGATAAATTCCATATCGGTCCTAACGCCACTTCATTTTAGGTCGAAATGACAAGTCACCACAAATTCTGTAACATTGCATCATTGATTCGCTTGACAACACCAACATTCCAAGGCAAGGTTTCCACCTCCATGATCAAAGATGAGCGATTTTGGTCAGTACCCATCTAGCGCTCATTGGAGAGTGTCGTCCTGCTTGGTTTTCACCTGCGTAAACGCAGGCCGTGATCATTTGTATTGTGTAATGGTATCTCGGGCTGTGATGATTTTATCACCATCGGTGGAAATCAAAGATAATTGTAACATAAATTAAAACTCTTAAGTCGCATCAAAATTGAAATAAATAATTTTAATCAAAATGAAAACAAAACATTAAATTAAATGTTCGAACAGACCTCCTTGGGTTTAACCTATCCCATTGTAGAAGCGTGTGTAAACATTTGCTGGTGAACATATTGGCAACGCGGTAACAACAACTCAGGATGTGTTGATTTTATCACCATCGGTGGAAATCAAAGATAATTCTAAAGTAAAATGAAAACAAAATATTGAATTAAATGTTCGAACAGACCTCCTTCTTGGGTTTGACAGTAACTTAACCTATTGTAGCACCCTGTGTGAACATTTTCTGGAATAACATATTGTCAACGCGACAGATTGCACGACCTTCTGCGTCACCGTTGCTAGGCAATGTGATGATGACCTTCGCTCTTCAGCCGGCTTCTATTTCTTTCTAACATGTGTTGATACACACCTCTCGCGCTTCCCTCTCGTAGACATTGAACTCGGACAAATTTGGTTTTATCTGTTTAGCGGCTGATTGCGTATGCATACCGAGTGTTTCAAATTCGACTCTCACCAGTGAGATTTCGGAAACAGTAAGAGATACGAAGTCGAATAAATGGGCTCAAAGTCTCGCATTTAGGTAACTAAGACAATGACACGTTTCCTGACTTTATTTGAACTGGGATTTCAAAATAAAGAGTACATTAACACTGCCTCTTTTCCTCCTCTACAAGGTGGCATATTTAAAATTTCAGTTTGACGCTGAGCTGAGTCTCGATCATCAAAACTAAGGTGGGGTTCGTGCACAAGAAAAAGTAACTTCTTGGCTACAAACTACAGATACAAAGCTTATTAAGCCTAGAAAAATACAACTAAAAAAACCTTTCCGGACCGGGCAGAGCTCTGACATATTTGTAAAAGCCAAAATGCCTAAAAATTCAACTTATGCAAATTCCAAACGTGGATTCAACTGTTGACTGGAGCGTTTCGTGGGGCCGTGTCCGTCGAGTTGCTGACCCAACAGCTTTTCTGTTCACTAAAACAAATATGTGGCCGCCTACGGTGCCTCTGTCGCTATCTCGCCACGCGGCGCAACTTTCTCTCGCTTAAAACGCGCCCATCTCAGATTTGCCAGATGGATCAAACATAATTCCTCCAGGTCAAGCACAAAAATCCCCCAGATTTTCAACTTATTAAAAAAATCCACCAAATAGACTAGCTGAGTAGTATGAAGGCCACGGGGGGAGGGCGGATGAAATAAAAAATAATATATTTTTCAAGCGAATTGAGACAATTTTTCAAGCTTGTTAGAACTTGTTTACTGAGCCACGATTATGCATGAACGAGTACGCGCGATCGCGCATTCGTTATCACTGCGCCATTTGGGGATTTGGAAATAGCAGATCTGCGGATCTACATCGTCTAGTTCTTTCCCCCGAAACACGCGTGTGAGGCAAAGATAGCTAAATCGACCGGCCAGCTATTCTGTTTTTCTGTGTTCTATGACTATGTACGCAATCTACAGTTAACATAAAGATGTAGATATGGGTCAGCGTAATGTTTTGTGGAGATGGGTGCAACCTGAGGAAAGAAAAGGCTACAGAAAGATGATATTGTTATTCAGCAGGTCGTAATTAAAGATGGAATAAAATACCCCAGAAATATCCAACGATTTTATTTTTCAAAAAAAAATCCCCCAGAACATTACATCCCCAGAAAATTCCCCAAGGGACGTAAAAATCCCCCAAATTTGGGCGAAATACCGAATATAGCAACTCTGGTCCATCCTCTTTTTTGTCAAACAATCAATCCCCTCTCGGCTCTCCAGCGCAGGGTTGCCAGATGGGTCAGACAAAATTACCCCACAACAAGCTTAAAAATTCCCCCATAATTGCAACTTTTTCGAAAAAGCTTTTTGTCAACGAAACGTGATTTATAACTTTATGACATCAGGGAGAAATTGTTCGTAAAAGCTAGCTAAGCCCGTGTTTGGGGCCCTATGCAGGAGATTAACACGATTTAGCTGAGTATCAAAAGAGACTTTTCAGTTTGAAACTTCAATTTTTCCTAACTTAACCTTCATCGTTAGTGACTGGTGCATCGTAGTGTAGTGGTTTAACTTTTTCTCGCAAAACACGTGTGTGAAAGAAAGGATAGCTAAAACAATCGTTTAATTTATATAAAAGTTGTAGAGATGGGTAAGAGTACGTGTTTTGAGGGGATAGGTGAGACCACAAGGAAACAAAAAGGGATAGAAAAGTGGTATTTGTATTCACCAATTGTCAGTTTTGCTTGACGAAAAATGGAATAAAATACCCCAAAAACCCTACGATTTTATGTTTCCCCACAAAAATCTCCCGGAAAATTATATTCCAAGAAAATACCTCAAGAAAGGTGAACATCTCCAAGATTTGTGGGGAAAATCTCCAATATGGCAACCCTGCTTCAGCGTTACCAGTTGGACCAGACAGAATTCCCCAAAGAATTGCAACTTTTTCGAAAAAAAGTTCTCCATCTCACACTTCATTAGATTTGGTTTGAAGAGCGAAGGGGGGGATCTAACTATTCGCGAAATGTGAGATCTATAACTTTATGACATCAGACAGCAATTATTCGTAAAACCAGTTATCCCCTAGCTGATTAGCCTTGAGAGCCATATGCGGTAGTTTAACACGATTTAGTTTAGTATCAAGAGAATTTCCGTAGATTATTAGTATTTGAGTTTTTTATACTTGAACCATCACGACTGCCTGAGGCCTAAACACATATGGGTACCGTGGGGCTATAGGGAGATGCAGGGGAACGACGTCATGCCACAAGGACTCTAGCGAGGGAACACGTGTACATGCAACATGCATACATTGTGGCAGCGCCTTAGAGATCCGTCGGGTAGTTCCTCCACGTTAGACAGTCACTGACCAATATACAATATGTGTGCATCAGTTTGGATATGAGAGATATGAAATGTATTTAAGAAGCTGCAACAAGGTCGAGGTTTTTACTTACTCCCCAATGTTTCTATCAGTGAAAAAGTTCAAACATTACATTGTTCTACACTCACTGAGTTTCTACCAACTATAAAAAGAGTACTTTTTTAGATATTTGAAGTTTTATAATATCAATCCACGTCATAATATGTACAATCGGGATTATGGAACAAATAACTATCGGATACTTTCAAGACCTACTTTAAGAAATTATGCTTTTTTAGCAACTAAGGTTTGGCACTGTCAACATATGACGTATTTTACATTATTAGAATCGCAATTAAAAATTCTATTCAACTGTACAAAGATCCAAATACGTGTCTCTAAGAAAAAATAAAGTTCGCGGTTGAGGACAAGAGACGAAACGTCATATTGAGATTCAAATAAAGCCACCTTGTAAAGGAGAAAAAATGGCAATATTAATGTGCAATTTATTATGAAATCCAACCTCAAATAAAGCTAAGAAAAAAATAAAAACTCTTTTGGGAAAATTCAGTTGTTTTCGTCTCTCCGGAAATACTTTGAATTGCGAATCTTTATAAGTACCATATTCTTAGTTACCCAAATGTACAACTTTGCGTCCATTTAACCGACTTCGTTTATGTTACCGTTTCAGAGTCAATTTTGAACCACCTAGCATATGTGTGTGACGGAGATGCGATATATGAAAGTAATTGCTGTAGTTTTAGAATGACTAGCCGAAAATCATGAGATGACCTGTACATACCTTGATCCTGTAATGTAGTTGGGCATATCCATTTTCTGCTTCTTAGGACTTGGACCAGCTAAAGCATCATTGATCAGTTTCCTCTTACTGTCAACTGTCGGTGTAGCAGACCTTGAACTATTTGCACTGAAAGCAATATAAAGTTAAAACATTGGAAAAAAGTCATCATAGTGAAATATTTACCTGCAAGGTTCACTTTCTTCTTTTTTCACAGCTGTCTTCTTTTCGGTTTTCTTTTTCTTAGATTCCTCGTCGGTTGTACTATCTGAACTAAAATCGTCCTCATCTTCTGAAACAAATATACATTTTATTTATTTATTTAATAACAATAACATCCAACAAAGACCATATACAAAAAATTATAAATGAACATAAATATACAGGGTGTTTCAGTTTATTGTTGCATAACTTTAAGATTCGATAGAACTTTTAAAATTAATGCATAAAGTCTATATAAACATGGGTCGAAAAATGCGTGGCTTCCGAAATACAGGGTGTTTAAATTTACTTTCTAAAATAGTTTTTTTTTAAATATTTCGAACAATATTGGATGTATAACAGTGAAAATTGGTATATAAGGGTTTTTTGGTGCGACAAAACAAAAACTCCCTATTATTATCAGTTCTATCAAGAATCCACTGACAAAATGTGATTCTTCGTTCTACGTCCCCTGGCTGTAGTCCTTGCACAGGTTGCAAATGGTAAGGACGTCTATGGTCATTTCTAAGAACACGGTGAACATGGCTTGCTGAAATTCCCAAGGAACCAGAAACTCTCCTAACACTTGTGGTCGGATCTCTATCAAACTCACGCAGAATCATACAGGTAAATCTGCGCTGACGAACATTTATGTTTTGATCCCTTTGGAGATTTCCATAATCATTTTCAATTATTCAGCAATGCACTCTTACAAATACTGAGCGAGTAGGATGTCGTCTTTTTGGAAATCTTTGTGCGTATTCTATGGCTGCTTCTGCTGCGTTTCCATTTACAAAGCCAGACACAAAATGAATATCCGCTAACTCTTGATTGGAGAATAAAAATGGCATTTTTAAAAAACTTACAAAAAAAAAACAGGTAAGAGAAACTAAATTTCGTGCATTCACAATTGCAAAAAAACGTTTCAGGTTTCAACAGACAACAAAACTAACTGTCAACTAATTGACGTTTAACCTTATTCTGCTTTCAATTTCAAAAATATTTGCAGGCACAGCCTACTTCTAAAAATTATACTGACTTTTTAACGTTATTTTATCATAAATAATTAAAAATGCATCGAACCTTAAAAATCGAAATATCTCAAAAACGGCTAACTATAACGAAAACTCACAGGAGACCTTTTTTATGTTGTAAAGTGCGAAGAATCAGTTTTTTTATTCAAAAAGCAAAAAATTGCACTAAGAAAAAAATTTCGGTCATTTTAATACACTACAGGTACAGTAGAGAGCGCCCTCTAGCGGCTACAGTAAAACTATGCCCATGGTTCGTTTTGTCGTACCAAAAAACCCTTGTATACCAATTTTCACTGTTATACATCAAATATTCTTTGAAATATTTAAAAAAAACTATTTTAGAAAGTAAATTTAAACACCCTGTATTTCGGAAGCCACGCATTTTTCGACCCATGTTTATATAGACTTTATACATTAATTTTAAAAGTTCTATCGAATCTTAAAGTTATGCAACAATAAACTGAAACACCCTGTATAACACAAAAATATAATTCCTCTTCAAGGACATCCTGATGACAGAAAGATGCACCTAGATGGTTCAAACCACCTGTATGTGCTTTCATCATCCGGACTTACAAATGAAAAGAAAATGCTATTTATTGGATTATAAAATACAATAAAAAAACAATCATCAACCTCAATATCCGAACAATAGTTCAATCATACTATGATACAAAAAATCATTAGAAAAACCTTTCAAATTGTGCAGTATTCTCAAAAATATATTCTCTGCAGCTGGTGCTAAATGTTTTAATATTTTTCAAGTGTTCTGGCAGAATGTTATATACAGGGTGTTCCATAATTATTGCGACAAAATGATAGGGGTTGTAGAGGGCATAAAAATATGCAATTTTGCCTTATAAACCCCTGTTCGTAAATATGCCGTTTGAGCACTACCGCTAATTTTACCTTAAGAGCTCATAGGAGAAACAAAAAATTCACCAGCTGCAAAATGTTCATCTAGCACATTTCATGGTCTCGCCGGTTTGTAAAAAAAGCCTACTGTGTTCACATTTTTGTTATCGTAAATTCTCCACACCGATTCATTTAAATTATCTGAGTGGTGCGTCAAACTAGATAGTAAATAACAGTACCTTAGTGTTAAAATGCAGCGTTATTCGTATGCGGAACTTGCGGATATGCATTTAATTTACGGAGAAGCTGGTGGTAACGGAGCCTTGCGAATCTCCGCCCAACGGTTTCCAGAACGTCCTCATCCACATCACGCCATTTTTGCAAGGATTCATGGACGTCTTCGTGTCAGTGGCAGCATCAGACACCTCGCGGGAGCAGGGCGGCCCTTCACGAGGCGCACAGTAGAATTTGAGGAAGCGATTCTGCATCATGTAGAGGCCAATCCGCGTACAAGCGTGCGTGCTATTGCACATGATATGGGAGCGTCTCAAACTACTGTTTGGCGGGTTCTCCATGACCAGCAACTACACCCATACTACCTTTTAAAAGTCCAAGCCAAGGGTCCAGAAGACTATCTGCCGCGTCGACGTTTTTGTCGTTGGTGGCTTCAGCAGGAGTTGAGGCAACCAAACTTTGGTCGCTACGTTTTGTTCACTGACGAGTCCTGTTTTACAAAGGACGGTTATTTTAATAGCCGTAACAGTCACATTTGGGATGAAGAAAACCCTCATGCCATAGCCATCCTTAGAGACCAACATCAGTTTTCAATTAAGATCTGGTGCGGTATTGTGGACGAGCATATCATCGGGCCATATTTGTTTCCACCACGTTTGGATGGGCATGCTTATGGTCGATGTGCTACCGAAACTATTAGAAAATGTGCAACTGAACATAAGAGCCAACATGTGGTTTCAACACGATGGCGCTCCAGCCCACTTTTCTTTACAAGTGCGGCAGTATTTGGACGACAAATTTCCAAATAGGTGGATAGGCCGAGGTGGCCCTGTGCCTTGGCCTGCTCGGTCACCCGACCTGACTCCACTGAATCATTTTCTCTGGAGCCATCTGAAAGCTTTAGTGTACGAAACTCCTGTTCCCAACCAACAAGAGCTACTGGGAAGAGTGATGGCCGCGTCCGCACATATTCAGGACATACCGGGGGTATGCCACAGAGTTCGCCGACCATTGAACAATCGTGCACAGCTGTGTATTGAGCAAGGTGGAGGACACTTTGAGCAATTACTGTAGGTAAGCTGTTTCAAGAAACTGATCTTTTTTTGTTGCTGCAGCCCAAACGGCATATTTCCGAACAGGGGTTTATAAGGCAAAATTGTTCATTTTGATGCCCTCTACAACCCCTATCATTTTGTCGCAATAATTATGGAACACCCTGTATATATATATATATATATATATATTTGAAAAAGTGTTTCGCAAATTATATGTATATAATCATAATAATACAATCATAGTCAAGTATTAATGGCTGGAGTTGAGAAAACAAAAAAACTCTCCAATGATAATAACTTTCTTAATTAAAATCCAAAGACATAAAAGCGCTACAAGTTTCCCTAAAATTAAAATTTTGTTAGCAAATCTCACCTTCCTTTTTAGCTTCTTTTTTAGGCTGTTTTTTCTTTTTCTTCTTTTTGTCTTTCTCTTCAGAATCTTCTTTTTTCTCAGCATCTTTTTCTTTATTTTCTTCATCTTCGTTACTTTGTTCTTTTTCGGATTTCTCCGATTCTGATTCTTCCTCGTCGGAGTTCAACAATTTTCTGGAAAAAAATAACATAATATGCAATTATACCGTGAGGTTTAAATTTTGCTGAAGTAATGTGTATGAGAGAGAAGCGCGAGAAGCGACACTCGGGTTGCTCTCTCGTAAACACTACGATGTCAGTGGTACATATTTGGTTTTCAGTGATGAAACTTGACCAGTGTTTTCATTTGACGTCACTGCCTGACTACCTATTGGTTGGCGGACAAACACAAACTTATTGCCATTGAGTTCAACGTGAATTAGCTTTGTTACTTCAGTTTATATCTTTTAAATCCTTAGTGTATAAGCGGAGAATCTGTTAGAAACTGTTACTATTATTTGGCCATTTGTAAGAAACTATTGAAATAGCTTCCTTTGTGTGTTGTTTAATGATTTAATTCGCCACCTCATAATAGTCCTTACGAATAACTAAATAAAAATTTCCAACAGCTTCAGGACTATTTATACCAATGAGTTAAGAGATATAAGCCAAAAAACAGTGGAGTGACTTTACAATAAGCGAAATGGCAATTAGTTTGTGTTGATTCTCTAGCAATAAGAAGACCTGTTAGAGTCACCTGTTTGAAATTGAATTATTATACTTGAAATAAGTATCCGGAGTACACAGAAACTAGGATAAGTGTAGTCTATATTTTTGGTGCCAAATTTTTACCTGAGCGCCTTTTCCTCAGCCACACCATCCAAGTTGACATTTTCAGGTTCACTGTCACTACTGTCACTAATGTAGTCCAACTCTCTGCCTTCACCATCTCCGTCATCAGAGTCTTCAAATGCCTCCAAATCTGTATCACGCTTTTTCTTGTCTTTCTTGACATTAGCCTAGGTACAGAAAAATGCAGATATATAGCTCAAGTATGTAAGGATTGCATAGAAAAATTGAATAATGTACTGTTAACTGGGATTCAGTAGTTTTATTAAAAATTACATTTTTTGGTTTTTTCTTTTCTTCCTCAGCTTCTTCTTTCTCCTCAATTTCAGAATCATCATCATCTGAACTGTTCATCCACTCGTCCATATCAGATATCTTCAGATCTTTGTCTTTCTTAGACGATTTCTTGCTTTTTTCTTCTCCATCTTCAGATTCTACTTCTTCTTCGCCCCTCAGTCGCTTACGCATCATCAGGTTGAAGTAATTTAGGTTTTTATTACGTTTGTTGAACTCCATCTCAGCTTCTTCAGCAGATAGAGCTTTGTAGCGCTGAATCGGCTGGAATTTGTACCTACAAAAATACTTGTCAGTTTGCAATTATTTCATAATATACCTTAAGAAAATTTCATACCCCAAATTGTCTCAGGGCACAATACAATTTTTTGAAAGTTATATTTGAATGTAGTAACCAAAACCAACCTGTGTATGAAGTTTCGTTAGCTTGTGAAAACGAGATACGAAAATGGAAATTTTGCACCACAAAGCCCTATTTTTTGAAGTTTCCAAATACAAATTTTCAAAACGTAAAGCATAACTGTATCTGGACAAAAGCTCGTTCCCAGTTAAAAAGGGTGCTTAGATTCCGAATCCGATGTCAGTTCAGTGATATGACCTTTGAAGCGTATAAGGTAACTGATTTTAGACCTGAAATTTGGCGCCACAATAGATAGATACTAACGATTTTTCTATAGATGTATACAAATTCGACCATCAAAGTTTTCTAAGTGTGCCAAATTTAATTTGTTTGAAACAATGGGAAATAAGATGGAATCTTTGCCATACAAAGTTCTAAAATGAAGTATAAGGCCTCATATGATGAAATTATCAAAATCTACTTAACTATAAACACAATAAGGACAAAGAAATGTTAGGATTATTGGGAGCATATCACATTAATTTAAACATTATCAATTACTGTGTATTTCATTTTCAAAATATTTAATCCATCCAAGAAGCCTTCAACTAAAACTCACCATTCCTGCAGAGGAAATGCTTCAATAGCACCATCTTCAGCATGTGTAAATACATAATAAGCTGTATTATTAGAAACACCACCTTCTCTTATACCTGTAAAGAGTAACAATCAAAACCAATCTCAATTTAATATCCTACCCCACCTTTAAATTTCTTAACAGTGCTACCACATGATTTCAGTATCCATGGTTGATCATCTGCTTTGTATTTTCTTGTTATGATACCTAATTTTTTTCTTCTTGCTTCTTCCTTTGCCTCACGGCCAAATTCCGAACCAGCACCAAATCTATGGAATAGTTATACGTATTCATCTTCTATATTTACTTTTACTTGTTTTTTATACTGAGTTGAAACACCAAACATTTCTGATTCTATAAAATCATTATCTAACTGAAAGAACTGACAATAATATCGTAAGTGTAGAATTGATGTTGATTACATAAACCTTGTTGTCAAAATTATAATTAGAGAACCTAATAATGTTTTTTCTACGTGAAATTTTATACAGGGTGTTTCAGTTTATTGATGCATAACTTTAAGATTCGATAGAACTTTTAAAATTAATGCATAAAGTCTATATAAACATGGGTCGAAAAATGGGTGGCTTCCGAAATACATGGTGTTTAAATTTACTTTCTAAAATAGTTTTTTTAAAATATTTCGAACAATATCTGATGTGTAACAGTGAAAATTGGTATACAAGGGTTTTTGGGTACGACAAAACGAACCATGGGCATCGTTTTACTGTAGCCGCTAGAGGGCGCTCTCTACTGTACCTGTAGTGTGTTAAAATGACTGAAAAAATTTTCTTAGTGCAATTTTTTGCTTTTTGAATAAAAAAACTGATTCTTCGCACTTTTCGACATAAAACAGCTCTCCTGCGAGATTTCGTTATAGTTAGCCGTTTTTGAGATATTTCGATTTTTAAGGTTCGATGCATTTTTAATTATTTATGGGAAAATAATATTTTTTTTTACATTTTCGATTTGGGCATTACAAGTAATTAAGATGATCATTTAGATTGTGTTTTTAAACACAGCAATAATTCCTAACTCCAAATAAACACAAAAAAAACAGAATATTACTTTGTTTAATTTTCCAATATTATTTTTAACAAATTAAATTAATTATTTACAACTAAAATGCTATTGGCTAGTTAGGACAAACATACAAAATCTAAAGTAGTTGCTTGAAATGTAAACCCAATTGTTCAATACACAATTCACATCTATGAATGATCGAACGTGGTATAGCATTATTCAAATAAGGCCTTATTTCATCACATGTATTCCTGATTCTGTCTATTAGCATATCTCTTGTGGTTACGGGAGTCTGGTACACTTTTTCTTTTAGAAATCCCCACACAAAGAACACATAGGTAGTCAGGGCTACAGCTGTTCAATGTAACATTGTTATTATTCCTCAGATTTTATCTATGAGACTCTTTTAGGTAAGTGAATTTGGAAGGATATGATTTCACATGAATTCATCTAGAATGAGTAATGATGCTAATGATAGTATTTTTTCATCTCTAAGGTCCGTATCGTCAGTCGTCCCTACAATTGTAGGGTGCGTTTATGGCCTCCTTGATTGTCATACTCTTTTCTCTCCTTCAAACATTTCTAGATTACATTTGTCCTGTGTCAGCGTCAGCGCTCTCCTATTGTTAAGATATGTTTTCCTTTTAAATTGTAGGAAATTTCAGGCTGATAAAACATGATATAACTCAAAAGCAAGAACAATTTGATGCAAATAGATGTTTGTGACATAACCTCAAAATAGAGCTCTGACACGGAGAAGTAGAAAACTATGACAATTGTAGGGACGACTGACGATACGGGCCTAAATGTTTTTTGAAAAGACCATAGAGGATGCAATGAGAATAAGAGTCTGACTATTGTCTTTTGAAGGATAAAGAATTGTTGGGCCTCAACAGACAAATTATCTATAATAATTCTTCCAAATTTCTTGCACTGTTTGATTATTCGATAATTAGCTACTGATTAAATTTTCAAAGGACTGCAAATTTTACAAAACAAGTGCATGAGAATAATACTGAATAAAGATAAATATATTCCAATTAGACAAATGCTTAGTAAATTAAAATGGCTCAATGTGAAATATAAAGCAGAGCTGGTTAGGTAAGGAATAAATAATTAATTACTTTGGCATTTCTTCATCAATTCCTTTGAACTCTCTCATGTTATTTTCTCTCTCCATACTGACTTTTGCCCATTTGGCAAAATCCACTTGAAGGTTTCCATTGAAGCGCATCACATGGTACCTCTTGGTACCGTTTTTCGGCACCCTTATGGTAAATTCTTGCACGTTGGTAGCCTACAAAGTAAACTTTCATAAGACCATCTCCATTTTACAGATATTTTGGAACAAGTACCTGCGAAGAAGGCGTTGAGGGTCCAGGTGGTTTATTCATCTTCACTCACAAGTATTCAACTCACGAACATATATTTCAATAAATAAGTATATCCACTTTCTAGGCAAGAAAATTCCACGAAAACACACCACTTTCCAAACAAAAGCTGTAATAATATTTTTGGTTAGCTTAGCTGCCAGCTTTGACAACATGACAACACCTAGCACAGAGCATGAAACATAAGAAATCATACAATAGAAAGAATCTGACTCTCTAGAGGTCTACTAATCACAATCTGGAAAGTAATCTCGCCCGCCATCTTAGCTCCACTCAGTAGAGGCATGGCCACATAGAACAAAATTTTCGTTTCTAGAATTTCTATTTCCCACGGAACAAGGTTTTCCCTGCAAGCTGATGCTGGAGAGCAAATTTACGTATCTGGTAGGTAATGTTGTTTCATATGTGATTGAAGCCAAAATGGTACCCTCAGAACAGCTGTATTCTGAAAGTCCTTCTCGCTTTTCTTTTTTTTTTTTTTTTATTTTAACGAGGGGGAATGCATTTACGCACCATACCATAGCACGAGCTACGACGTGTGTGGGGCTCCAGGGTCTTGAGGAGATCACCTAATACCCACTAAACCCTAAACCTCCGCGTGGCCCGACTCATCAGCGTCTCGGTAGGCCATGTGTTCTGCGTGACCTGCGGTCTGCTACAACGTCTCCTCATGTGTTTCAGTCTCTGGGAACGCCGGGTTGGTTCCCTTTACCTCGCACATTCTATCGATGTCGTTAAGCGATCATCGATAGAGGGTCTGCTAGTTTCTCTTGAAACTCTTGTTTTCGAAAAATCAAGAGTTTCAAGTCCTCTTACCAATATGTTGTTCCTGGTCCTGGTCCTGAAGGGTCCTGGTCCTGGTGGGTCCTGGTCGTGGCGGGTCCTGGTCCTGGTTGGTCCTGGTCCCGGTGGGTCCTGGTCCCGGTGGTTCCTGGTCCTCTGCATCCACGCCGTGGGGTGGGGGGGGGAGCAGCCGCAAGTTCTCCTAGTCTCCTAGTCAAGGTTCCAGTTAGCGGGTGCCAACTGGGACCTTGGTCTGGGGTACCTGGTTCTGCGGTTGCGAGGCCTCTCGTCCGGATCGTAGTCCATGAGGAATCGTAGCTGCTCGTTCGGGTGGTCCTGAGCTTTCTCGAAGGTCTTCTCCGCTTTTTTCCTCATGTACTCGTGGATGGTATCCCAATGCAGGTCTCTACGCAAGGTTGAGTTCCTTACGTAGGAAGGTGCATTGGTGGCGATCCGGAGTAGCTTCATCTCTAGAGCAGCAAGTCGCTTGCGGTAGCTGGGGGCAGCGTACCCCCAGACCGCGGAGGCGTAAGCGAGCTGAGGTCTGGCGATGGCCTTGATCAGCCGTAGCTTGGTCGCTAGCGGCATCTGGCTGTGTCTACCCAGTAATGGATAGAGTTGAGCCATGGCTGCTCTGGTTTTTGCGATGACAGCTTCTATGTGCGCTTTCCAGGTGAGGGACTTGTCAAAAACGATCCCCAGATATTTGAGATTGTCGCTCCACTGGATATCTTCATCGAAGATGGATGCTTCGAGAGGTCTTGCAATCCTTCTTCGTTGAATGAAGATTGCCTGCGTCTTCTGGACGTTGATGCGGATTTTCCATTTCACGCACCAGTCCTGAATTTGGTCCAGTTCACCCTGTAGTCTCCTACGGATGATCTCGGGTCGTCTATGCTTGGCGGCTATAGCAGTGTCGTCTGCATATAGGGCCAGCATTGTGTCAGCTGTCTTCGGCACATCGTAAGTATAGATGTTGTAGAGCAGGGGGGCTAAGGCTGACCCCTGGGGCACGCCTGCTTCCAGCTGTCGTCTTGTTGAATGGCATGTACCAATCTTCACCGTGAACCATCTTTGTGTTAGATAGCTCTGGATTAGTTGGCACATGTTCGCATCGATTCCGGCGGCTTCCATTTTGGCGATGAGTCCATCGTGCCAAACTCGGTCGAAGGCTCGTTCCACATCCAGCAGGACGAGACCGGTTGCCTCCTGGAGATTGAAGCCGCTGGTGATGTTTTCTGTCAGTCGTAGCGCTTGGAGTTCCGTGTTGTGCAAGGATCTGAAGCCGAATTGCTCTGGGGGGAGAAGTTGCAGTTCTTCTGCCTGCTTCTCTAGTCGAACGGCGATAGCCTTTTCGACTACTTTGCCCATCGAGGAAACCAGGCTGATGGGCCGGTAGTTCTGGGGCAACTTCCGGTCCTTGCCTGGCTTCTTGAGCATTATAACCTGGGCTTCCCGCCACCGCCGCGGGAAGTGGTTAAGTCTCAGGGTGGCATTGGCGATGTTGGTGAGCGCAGCAATGCCTTTGGTGGGAAGGTTCTTCAGCATCCTGTTGTTGATGCCGTCCCTTCCCGGCGCCTTTCTGACCTTCAACCTGCGGATGATCAGACGGATTTCCTCTGGACTGGAGGGGTGATCCGTCTCCTGGCCAGGTGGTCGACTCCTCATGTTTTCAGCTGCGACTTCCACGGCCTCCTCGTGGTTGTCGTCCTCGTCTTCATGGTAATTGAGTCTGCATTCGGATTCTAGCGAATCGGCGAATGCTTCGGCTTTTTCTTCACTGGAGTAGGCCAAGCCGCGTTGGCCGTGAAGAGTGGGGATCGTGGTGCGCTGACGACGAAATTTTCGCTGCATAGACCAGGCCGTACCATCCTGGGTCTCTAGTTCTGCACAGGCTGCATTCCATCTGTTGTTTTGGAGTTCCGCGAGTGCGTTCTTCAGAGCTAACGATGCTCTGTTTCGCGCAACTCTCGACTCCTCTGTCAACAGCTGGAGATGTTCTCGCTTGAGTCTTCTGTTCTCCCTGATCAGGTGCCTAATATGGTGCGGTGCTGGACCATTTAGGTGTCTAGGAACTGCCGTAGTCTCGGAGCGGGTGCTGTCCTCGTGCGCTCGCAGGACAGCATTCTCCAGCTCCTCTACTGCGTTGTCCAGTTCCTCCGCTGATCGGATGGTTGGAATTTGAGTGATGTTCCTTTGGACGTTGGATTTGTACAGGTTCCAGTTCGTCCGTTTGGTGCTCAAGCTATCTCGAGTTCTAGACCCTGTGCCAAGTGTTAGTAGAATCGGATTGTGGTCCGACGATCCTTCCACCAGGGTCTCTATCTCGAACTCCTCTCTGATGTTGCGGAGGATGGCTATGTCCAGTACCGCAGGTCGCCCAAGGCCGAATGGAATGTAGGTTGGTTGCTCCGGACCGACGATGACCCCCGCCAGGGCATCGACGTGTTCCTGGAGCTGCCTTGCATTCCTGTCTTCGACGTTGTTGTTCCAAGCCGGAGACTTGCAGTTTAGATCTCCGATGACTATGCGTGCTCCTGGGCCTCTCAGGAGGTCAGCGATGTCATCTTCGTCTAGGGCCTCCCCTGGTGGCACATATAGGGAGGTGATTCTGTAGGGACGGTGGTTGTGATGAACCTGGACCGTGATTCTGTCCCCATTTATGTCTGCGGCATCGTCGAGGACATGACTCGTCAAGGTACGTTTGACGAATAATGCGACTCCTCCACCTCTGCCCCTTCTGTCGTAGCGGTACGTCTCGTACCGCGGGAACGTCAGACTATGGGCAGCATCCAACTTCGTTTCTTGGATGGCCATCACCTCTGGTTGGTACTGGTCTAGTATCTCCTGGATTTCTGGTTTCCGTGCCCTGAATCCGTTGATGTTCCAGGAGATAATGCGTAGAGATTCTACGTTTTGACCTGTAGACATTTCGGGTCTAGTGCTTGTCTTGCATCTTGGCCTCGAGTGCATCCAGGCGGGTTATGATGGCTTGCATCATTGCTAGCAGTCTGTCATCGCCGTGTTGCTTCTGCGCAGTAGTTCCAGTAGCAGTGGCGGCTGCTGGGGCAGAAGTGGACATAGGCTTCTTCGCTTTTTGAGCATAAGAGGTCCTATTTGTGGTGGGGACTGCTTTGGGGGCAGAAGCAGCTTTCTTCGGCGCCTTACTACATCCCTTGTAGTTGGCGGGGTGGCCTTCTCCACAGAGGCAACACTTGGCGTTTCGTTGCCCTGTTGGCGGCGCTGGCAGACTGCAGCTGGTGCTGTTGTGGTCCTCTCCACACTTAACGCACCGTGTGTGCCCGTACCGCTGGCAGCGGTAACATTGGCTGGGCTCGGAAGACTTTTTCTTCCTCTCGAAGCTGACCGTGAGCATGGCCAGCCTCTGGATCTCTGCAAGCTTTTCCGGCATCTTCGTCTTGACGAGGAAGAGCGGAAGTGGCTTCTTGGTGGTCCTTGAGGTCATCTGCTGAACCTCGGCGTCTGCGATGCCTTGGCTCACCAGATCCTCTTTGATGTCATTGACTGACATCTCTCTGGGTAGCCCACGAATGACCCTCTGGTCCATCCTGTCCTCCTTCAGTTGATAGGTGAAGAAGGGCCGCTTGATGGATTCCAGCAGTGCGACTAGCTGACGGTAGTCAGCTGGTGTATTTGTGAATACCTTCACACTGGTACCCGCCGTCCTCGCTTTGGAGAATTGAATCCCCTTGCTGTTCATCATCCTGCTCAAGGATGACCAATCAGCGGTGCCCTCGATATTGATTGGCGGAACTCCTGTTCCTGCCATGGGGGCCTCGGTGGTCCTGGTTGCTCTAGGAGTCTTCTTGGTGGCGGCAGCTGACATCTTTGGCTGCCTTGGTGACTCATCTTCGGAGGAGGAAACTCGCACCCGCTTCCTCCGTCTGGTGGCGACACTGAAATCGTTGTCGTCCGTCCTCTTCTCGGCTTCTTCTTCTATTCCTTCGTTTCGTTGAGTGCTCTCTTCTTGGGCGTCCATCTCGTCCGACGTAGCCTGGTGGTCCTCTTCCTCCTCTTCTCCTGTCTTCTTCGCGGCCTTCTTCTTGGCCCTGCGGAGCTTCCCGCTCAGGTCCTCGATCTCCTGTCTGGCCTGCAAGAAGGATTCTTGCAGGTTTCGCATCTGCTCTTCCAGCATGGCGAAAGCATCCTTCTTTTCTTTCAGCTGGTTAACCAGCTTCTCAATTTTTGCCATCGTAGATGGCAAACAACCAATCTATCGCAATGAAAATTGCAATAAGATTGCTCAATATGTCCGGGTGGGTCGCAGTCGTGCAACTATACACTCGCAACGGCTGCTAGCTCGGAACTCCTCGCTTTTCAGCGTACGACGTACGTATATATAGTAGGTAGTACTCTGTGGGCAGCGTTGCCAGATTCGTAGCGGGGAATTATCGTACAAACACCTCAAAATTATCGTACATTAACCGTACCTTAGGTTCTCTCAAGATGAAAGAACATTTCTGTCTCGGGGGGAGGTTTGTTT